CTACTGCTACTGCTGCTGCTGCTGCTGCTGCTATTTCTATTACTACTACAAAAACTACCACTATAAATAATAATGAAGCCTAATTCTTTAAATTCTTTTCTTTAGTTATCAGCGCCATGCACAAGGCAATGGAGAACGTACAAACTATGAAACAAATTGACATCAGAGATGAACTCTAGTTGGTGGACCTTATCCTTTGGTTAATATGGAGCAGCCTAGTAGAATTCTTAAATAGAAGCCAAAAAAAAGTATTCCATATCAAATATAAAAATAAATCCTATAGATTAGTGATATTCGAATAAAACTTGCAGTACGAAAAATTATCAATGTACGTCAAAGTAATTTAACCCATTACAAAAATACGATTCACGTTAATATGATAAACAATAGTTAGTATTATTTTAGAAGATCTTTTGGCATGTAATAATAGCTTGAGAAATTACTATCTTGTACTTTGCCGTTTTTAGCAAGTTTTTAAATTAAATTAGAAAAATCTTAAATTAGAATATTTCTTAATTTGAGTAAATTTTAAATTAAATAAGTGACCTAAAAAATGTCTAGAAAATTATTTGTGTCGTTCTTCTTTCCCTGTCTCAAAGAAATTTGCCATTGAATATTGTTGCGACTACTAATTGAAATATCAGATAATACATTGTCTCAAATTGAAGGGCAGTAACAGGGAAAGCATTTTGCGTATTTAGATTTATCCTATTAAGAAAACTCAAAAGTAAATCCGTAATGGAAAAAAAAAAATCGTTAAGAATCTAAAATGACAGTTGACATACTATAAATGCTGTAGATATCTTTTTTCCAATTTTTTCAATTGTTTTAGAGAATCAAGGGTTGGCCTGTAGTAGTAGAACACATGGCTATCACCTCTGAAATCCCGAGATGGTCTTTTGGACTCGGAATTCGCAGTGTGAGTGGGTTTTCTTTGGCTTTTATTTTATAAATTCAATATTTTTTCGGTTTTCTTCTCTCTGATAAATTAAAGCTCAAAATGCTTAAAATGTAAATGAAATCGCAGCCTAGCGCAAACAATAATTCCACTTTCAAAATTCTTTCAGTGAAGTTCAGGTTGCTTGGCGGGCGTGAATACATTTATTTTATTCAAAAGACTTTGTTCGCAAAGCTAGAACAATGAGAATTTACCGCTTCAGGTTCGCAATGAATCTCAAAACTATTCTTGTCCTTCTTTTAACAGTTCTGGTCATCTTTGGGTACAGTTTTTATAGATATTTTTACCACCATGAGTATTCTGTAAAGCCCATTTCGAATGCCGTTTCAAGTAGCAAACATTTTGACAAAGAAGAAGTTTACGTGGAAAATTTGTCAATGGAAACTACGAAAATCAAAGCAAGAACAACCCAAGAAACGTCAATTCAACAAAGGGACAAACAAAGAAAAAACACAAATGAAATGAACCTTCTGCCGCCGAACACAGAATCAGAAGAGAAGGCAAAAAAAGAGTTTTTTGAGAAACTGGATGAATTTTCGAGACAGCAGGAGATGAACGTTACAGATGTGACCGACGACAGCGCAGACAATGAGACTTCGTTGAATGAAAAAAGGATAAAAGAAAACGACTTGAATGAGTTTATGTACACTAACAACACGTTCAAAACAATGGATATGGCAGGGGATAACGTTGAAGAAAACGGAATCAAAGAAAATGGAGATTCAGAAATAACATATATCAATCGACTTGTTGGCAATGTTTCAAACATCTTGAAAAAAAAAGGCAACGACTATAAAGAAACAGAGTTTGTACTGCAAAGCAGGGAGAGATTGATGTTAAATATATCAGAATCTTTTAACAACGAAGTTTATAATGTGACGAGTAAGTACAATTCTAATTTATCGGAAACTTTTGAAGACCTTGCAAAAAGTAATGCCACTCTGCCCCAAGACGTACGAAGCAGTAGTCGAACCCTCATGGATAGCAAAAGAGGAAGTTCTATCGTAACTTTAAGAAAACAAAAGGGTAGACGACGAGGTAAAACAAATGGCCAAAACATTCTTAAGATAGGAAGCAAGGTTAAGAGAAAAAGGCATCCTTTGACCAAAAAATATCGCAGATCCAAAAAGAAATCTTTTTTATCTAAAGACGACATTCGCCACAAATCATCCTTACATAAAGAAGGACACAGTGACAAGCGACAGCAACACAAATCCATTCATCCCAATAAGAAAATGCTAACTAACCTAAAAACCAACTTCAAACTTGATTACAAAGAAGGTTATGTTTTGGATCAAACCTTTTTTCGTGAAGCGAAGCTTAAGCCAGGCTACAACATTAGGAATCGCAAAACATCAGTTCTTCTGTTACATCCGTCAATGTTCACATCTTCAGTGTGGGTTAATATTGGAACAATGCAAGCCCTTGCCGAATCCGGTTACCGTAATATAGCTATTGATCTTCCTGGTTACGGACGCTCCAAGAAATCAAAAATCCCTTATTCAAGAAACGAGATTATTGACTACATGATTCAGTTACTTGGATATCTTGGTCTGGAGAAGCCAGTAATTGTGACACCATCAAAAAGTGGTGAGTACGTCATGCCACTAATCATGTCACATCCGTATATGATTGGCGGATTTGTGGCCATCGCCCCCACAGACACGGGCAAATACAGCCGGCATTTCTATGAAAATCTAGACTTACCAGCTCTGGTTGTATTGGGGAATGAAGATACATCGATGCTCAACTGGGCATCACTGGACAACCTGGAACATCTCAAAATAAGAAGGATGTTCACCATTGCTAATGCTACAAAGGAATGCTATGTTGATCGGCCTTCTTCGTTTCATAAATTATTGCTAGATTTTCTTCCATCGCTAAGCAAGCAAGTTCGATCCTCTCAATGATGCTGATATTTAGCCATTGCATTAATTCCCAGAGCAGCTCAATTTGAAGGACAAAACAATGGATCTAGTTTCATTATAAAAATGTCAAAAGCAGTAGCGCTAGCTAGTTACCTTTGGTATAGGAGAATAGATATCTTAACTAAAAATAGAAAAAAAAATTAATCAAATGAAAAGTTGCGAAAGGAAGTTACTTGTTAAACGTCCAAATACTTCGTCTTCTTATTTTCCAGCTTTGGACTATAGAATTTTTGCACCATCACGTGCCGCCGCCCATAATATAGCTTGGACTGCCTGTGGTTTGATGGCAAAACAATAAAATTCCTTTGCTCTCGATTGCGAATTGAATTCTTTATTATGTAAAACGATTGCATTTTTCCTGCTATCTAACATGGCTGCCGTCACGTGATGGTGCAAAGCCTCTAAACTCTTTTAGGAATATAGAGGTTAGCACTGATGGAGAGAGGTGGTCAAAGACCGCAGCGTGTGCTTCCTGGAATACCAGGCACGTAGCTGAAGGAACTAACAACGTTAAGAATAGCTACTTTACCCGTTCTTTTGGGGGGAATAAATGGGCGCACATTTGCAGTCTATATTTAGTCAAAGATAACATTTATAAAATTTTATAGAAATTATAATTATTCAGCTATCACTGCGATAGTCTTTAGTAGTCATAAAGAAAAATTGAGTAATAATAGGCAACCATTCTCATGATTATTTAATTAGGCAGTTGCTCATGAAAATATAGAGGGCTCAAGATATTAGTGACAACATCAGAGATTCGACTTGTCATAATAAACGGAGATGTAGATGTGTAGCTTCTTTCTCATTAAAAAATTCAATAATCAAACTTAAGCTTGATCGTTATTCTTAAGCTTGATCGTTTCTTTTGTTTCTAATCCACAGATTAAGTTTCTCTGCCAGAACTGATAATATCATTTTTTACCTCGCAGCCTCAACTCTGTTTAAAGACTTCGTTTACTGCAGGCTAGTTTTTGCAAAGTATCTTGGGATTTCCTGGGGACCTAGGGTTTTTGTACTTAAAAAAACTCCAAAGCAATTCTACTCCAGTTAAAAAATTATCACCAATTCATTGCCGTGCAATAACTATTTAAAAAGACATAGTTCGAACTCGATGCTTGTATATTTTATGAGGGACAACAATGTGTTTCACTGAATATTGGTAATCATTTAGATAATTTGCTCGAATAATAGAAGAAAGTTTAAATCCCAGACACCAGTCGTATTACCCAGGTCGTAAACACCACGATTCTAAAGTTTTTTTTAATTTTGTATAACTGTAGATTAATGGATTTGAGTTATTTTGTGGCAACTTTTAATATTGAACGCTGGACATTTTTTGAAAACAAATTTGTAAGAACGAGTAAAAAGGTGATGCTTTTGAAATACTGTATTCCAGAACGAGTGCAGTGTTGTATACTAAATGATCCCTTATGTTACGTCATAGTCATTAACATATTGGGAATATAAACCTTCGTATCTTAAAGACCCAACATTCAAATGACGAAATATTTTCACAATCAACTATCCACTATCTAAAGAATCAATTCTGAAAATATTGTGTAAAGGCTTATAAGCACTTTAAAAAGGAATGTATAGGATTTGTATATCGTAAATATATATCTAAAGTTACGCAGTTAGCTTGTCACGTTTTGCATGGGTGTTCTTCTTGTGTTCTTTGTCTCTTGCACACGATTTGAAGCCCACTCCAAGACAGTTAGTCCATTTGGCGCCGGCGATAGGCTCAATAGGCGATAAGTGATAAGCCTATGAAATAGGTCATTCCAAGATCTAAGAATATAACTGCAACAATGATTGCATAATCTTTTTTAATTTCTTATTATAATATAAGTACGATATACTAATAAATCCATATACATTCCTTTGTGACAACTGAATAAAGTACATAAGGACCTTGGCTACTTTGCTTGGGCTTCCTGTGGGATTTTAATAAGATGAAATGCATGTAATGGTTGATGGAATAAGATATTAAATGTGAGATAAATGGTTGGTAGGTGGATTGGTTAGTCGGGGATGGCAGATGATATTTAAATGGATGGATGGATGGATGGATGGAGGGAGGGAGGGAGGGAGGGAGGGATGGATGGATTAAGAGAATCGGGAAATTAAAAAGTAATAAAAAATAGAAAGAAAGAAACGAGCAATATTGCTGATGGTTCAAATAAATAATGACAGTATTTCCTACCATACTGTGTGGTTTTTAGTTTAGTTCCATATCAAAACGCATTGYCATTTTGAAAGTGATATATGAATCTGCTTCCGTAGAAATAAATAAATGAACACAAAAAATAAAAGAATATATATACAGATTTTCCAGAAACTTCTTATTTAAACAAGCTTAAATTCTATTTAGTTCCAAGGTGAACGAAGGAACGACCAGAAAGCCAATCAACACTCTGGATTTTCATAACTCATTTTTTTCTAATCTAATTTCTAATTAATTTTATTTATTAGGTATATCCCACTTTCTTGCTAGTGATTATTTATTGATACAGAGGTTTTAACTCAGTTTTGATCCTCTTTGGATTTTTGAAATCATTTGCAAGTAAACTTTAATATAGATCTATAGTATTGTGTAGTATTTATTGTGGTTTAAGTAATATTGAGGATTAACTCTAGCGGCTAGTAAGCAGAAACTCTGTTTACCTCATAATACAAAGTTTAATGCGAGAAAAATGAATTTTTCATATAGTTATTAAATTTTCGTCCCTCTAAATCCTACAGCAATAACCTTAGCAAAATAATATTTCCAAAAACCGCAGAACTTGAACATTATTTTAGCGGAACTCGAAGCTAATCCGCAAATTAAATTAAAACCATTAGAAATCGTTGAATATTCATGTAAAATACATGCGATTCTCAACACATTTGGTTAGCAAGTTGCATTTAGATGAAGGTTCGAATGGTTTATTTAGCATTTGCAATTAAATTACGTTATGAGAAACGCCTTTGAAGGTGTCTTTTTCTATCAAGAATCTGCAAGTGTGAAAACCTCTTTCCCCTTACATTAAACATTGACTAGCAACCAAAAAATCCATTTTTTATTTCAAACAAGTTTGTAAGAAACCTATAATGTCAAATTTGTACACAAATGATGTAATCATTATATCTCATGATGTGACTGATAGGAAATCCACAAAGCAAATTCATTAAAAGTATTTTAAATTATCAACCGATCTAACCTGCAGTCAGATTTTAAAATAGAACTAACGTGCGTTAGAGTAAAGGTCCGCTTTTGCAAAAAGGTTATGAAATTATAAAACGAATGAGTCATGATCACGTGCGAGTTCCGCTTATATCACTGAGTTTTTAGACTCATTGTGCAATCTTTTTCTTCTTCCTCGATTTCTCTTTATAATGGCTTTCTAAATCGCAGTCAAATGCTCTTGAAGAAGCGTGATCTAAATATTAGTATTAAAATAGGTAGAATAAATGCAAGATTGATCGCTTAAACAGCCTCCCGTTGCGTTCTATTGAATCAACATGCAATAGCCGAAGACATATTAGCACGAATCAAAGCAATAAAGAAAATGAAATAAAAAATATCTGCATAAAATACATGAAATGTATAAGTATTGGATCAATATTAAAAAGAAAGACTTAAAACTATGTTCTACTCTGTTAACTTTCGGGATATAAGGTCGATACAGCTCTAGATGACTATTCATTTTTTTTAAATGTAAAAGTAAAGATTGAAAAGAGAGAGAAATGCACACGGAAATTCAGTCGAGTCATAGAAAATCCCTAACATTTATTTGTCACGAAGTAATTTGAGTTGATCAGTTTAGCGTTCGAGAGGAGGGAAGCGGAGATGGGAATGCATCTTGCCAATATTTTTTGTTTCAAATATTTTATCATTGGAGGTTTTTACAAGCAAAGCAATTAGGTGAGATATGTCAATATAACTATCTATTGGGATATCACCAACAGTTTATTCTAGCACACCAGGCGTTCCGATTCTTCTCAAGATTCAAACTGATAACCTACCCGCTACGATAATTGGAATAGAAATATGTGTATGTTCTTCAAAACCGCTTCATGTTCCAAGTAAAATTTTGTTTACAAATACATTTATGGGCACTTAAGTTGACTTCCAACCAATTATATGAGAAGAGGGTCGCCTTATTTTAAGTTGTTTTCATCATGAATGACAGGTTGACATCAGCCCTCTGATGGGAATGGTCAACTTCGTTGATCCTATCGAGTAATGTCATTTATTATGTATAAGATTTCATTTATAATATTTTTAACAACATTTTTCTTATTCTTTTTTTTTTTTTTTTTTTTTAATCCGCTATAAACTTTTGATAGAAACAAAATAAATCTATCTAGATCTAATATGTAGTAGAGTCTTCGCCGTCCGGAATTGCGGAAAGTGTAAAATAAGGGGATGGCAGATATGAATCATTGAACTTCGAGACGTAAATATTGGAAAGTCCTTTAACGATTCGGAAAAAAAAAAATTTAGCAGCTCAATTTAATAAAGGAATAAATCGTAGAATTGCCACAAATGGATCAGAGTGATTTTCACATCATAATTCCAATTAGAAATCCCTGATTTTATTACTCAATTTTTTTTTCTAATTATACATGGGGCCGAAGTGCACATTTGAGTAGTTGAAGAAAAACACTTCAGAGTACGAAAGAAGCCGCTTCGAAGATCAGATTTGCAGGACACACACACACACACACACACAAAACAGAATTCATCGGGGTAAGATAGCATTAACATAGTTTATATGGATCTAGCCAGGGATTTTCACTGTTAGGGACAATTGGCATAATCAAGTTATACAGCATCGTTGTGTTCTGATTGGTTGTCATGGGTATTCATGTCGTAGTTCGCCCGCGTATGAATAATAACTATGACAGGTGCAGAAAGGACTATTATTGAAAAAGTCGCCAACAGCAGCAAACGACAACTATGGTACATAACGATATTTCCTAAGAAAAACTCGTTTGGACCTATGTAAGCAATGAGATTTTCCTCGAAATGCTCAAGATTATAGCATGATCAACTTATGGGAAAATCGTAGAAATTTTCTTTATTCTATGCCGTATCTTATACTGTGTATGAAAGGTCTTTGTAATGCTAAAATTGTTGGTTGAATGCCTGATCGTATCATACTATGCCCTGCCGTAAATGCTGTTCTATGGCCAAGTCTCCAGTGGAAGACATCCGATCAGATAGTGATATTTCTGTTGAACGAGAAGAAATCTTGCTACCATCAAACCACAATGGTCGAGTCTCGAATTATGAACAGATAAAACAGCGATCACCGGACGAAAACGTTGTAGAAACTAAAACAAAAGAAGATTACGGGAGAAGAAAGATACGAGAAGTAACTAATTATTACATATCGCACTGCACTTTACATGGATTTCATTATGTTTTTGATACCAAGTCTATATTACGAAAGATTCTCTGGCTAAGTATACTTGCAGCTGCCGGCGGATTCTTCTTCAAGGAGGTAAAAACAAGTCTGTATCAATACTACCAGTATCCTTTCACTACGATGTCAACGATAGAGTATCCTAAGAAATTACCATTTCCAGCTATAACTGTGTGTGATTTCAACGATGTTCGAAAATCACTGCTATCAAGCAATGCCAGTCAAATGTCGAACATCATTAAAGCATCCTTAAAGCAGTTAAACAACACGTTATTGTACTGTGCTTTAAGGCACGGATATAAACGCCCTTCAGTCTTTACAATTGATGATTTCGATGTATTTTATTCTTCAGAGGGACAAACTTGTTTCACCTTTAATTCGGGTAAAAATAAATCTGTAATTTATGGTGATAATGTTGGTCCAAAATTCGGTTTAGAATTCATACTCAACGTCCAACAACCACCAGACAACGATGTTAGAGAAAGTGGGTTCAGGTTTATTCTTCATCAACAAAATGACTTACCGCTAACGAGAGAGGGATTTCGAGTCTCTCCTGGTTATGTAACCTACGTAGACGTACATCTAGCGAAGGTAAGTGGTACTCTCCAAGAAAACTCAAGATTATCAATCCAACAATCTAGTGTTGTCTAAATATTGTATCTTTGCAGTATTGATTGAATAATTTTACGTAGTAGGGTTCCAATTTGAATTGTTAAATCACAAGAGATTTTTTTTTGTATTATCTCGAAGTTTTGATGAACATGAATAACTGTAGTACGATTTTTATGTAATTGTGATTGTGAGAAACTTTATATGTTTTAATTTCTTTGTTATTGTAAACTCCGCGGTCAAAGAAAACGCCATCGCTTAGCAGGCTATCGCAAAATACGCTATGACTTTTAATAGAACAAATCCGGATTGGCAATCCAAATTTTCCAGAATACCCTTATTTTTCTGTTCAAAATAAAAATTAATTATACATTTGAAGAATTAAATCTGGAAAATAAACATTTATTTTATAGTTTTTGTAATTTTAGACTAATTGAAAAATGAAGAAAAAGCCAATCAATAGATGCCCTGAGTTTCATTCGTTCGTCACTTTGCAATCTCATTTGTGCCAAGCGTGCAAAAAAAATTTCTGAAATTCTTCAGTGAAACATATAATATTTTGTTTTRATTTCTTGTCGTAAAATTCAAAGACTTTAGTTGTAGTAATCGGCCATCTCTTGTGTATAGTGTAATTTTCTCCAGGCAATTACTAGACTAAGTAGGGGAGCTTCTTGTTTAACAATGCTTTCCCACCGTCCATGTAAACAAAGTGTTTTCCTGCATTGTTATTAGAGCTTTTTTCAAATCGGTGCGCCACAATTTCTGCCTCTTTTGAACTCAAATATCTTGTTTTAGATAAGATTGGGAGATTTTAGATGAGATTTTCATTTATTCTAGTTCATTGATAACTCAGCGCGGTTTGAAGGCAAATTCTAAACGCCATGATTTCATAAATAATAAATAACCATAGTAAGCCTTAAGCATCTATTAATTATTCGCTTTCTTTAGTACTTTTGTTTTTTCAGTGATATCTTTGTTAGATTTTTTTAATTCCCTGGTAGTTTCATATATTGGTTCGTTGCGATAGACAAGCTTAAATAAACCGACACCTTTGGTGGCTTTATAGCGGAGTTATAGATGTCACTTGATTTGAAGTATGCCTTAATAAGTTTTCTTCGAATTAAACCATTTAATCAAAAACACAAAACCACAACAATTATTCTACAGAATTTTCAGCACAAAAAAGTATGTCATAAATTATGTTGGATAATTTGTTATGAGCAAGAAGGATTGCTAATCCTTTTGGACCGCTTAATTCTTTTGGACCGCCATCGCCGACTTTGGCAGGGTCGAGTGATGGTGCCGTTTCTGATGGGCTTCGAGACAAATTGTTTCATATCGTAAGCTATCTTTTCAACTGATAACGAAAGTCTGCTACTTCTTGCTTCGTGTAGGATAGCCGTCACCTTTATTGTTTAATCGTATCTTCAAATCAAGTATCTTTTTAAAGTAAGACGTTGAAAGCTATCTTCAAATCAAGTACCTTTTTGAAGTATGAAATTGAAAGATTTTTTTATACCAATGAAAATAAATTTTGAATGTTAAATTGTAGTGTGTTGAAAAACACATAAGATTACAATTTACAGACTTAATTTCGATTGTGTAACGAATTTTAATTCATTTGAATACTTTACAGGATAATTTTCAACAGCAATTCATTAAATAACCTTACGCCTCTGTTGACTCATAGATTTCGAAATATCTATATTCAGTGAAAGTAAGACGAAAGCTGTTCAGTTCGTAAGTGCATGAAGGCAAAGAAAGTCATTGAAGGCTATTAAGAAAGTATTTTTCTTAATTACATCGAATTCCTTTCCCCCCAGATAAGTATAACCTATAAAGTTAAAAGAAATGCGACTCCAAAGCAGTCAGGTGCTCGCACTGTATGTCTTATTCCAAAATTAAAATATGTGTGATACAACTTGTGTGAAACCACCAAAAAGCGGATTGCCTTATTTATAGAATTTTTATCATCATAACTGAAGTATCAAGCTGTTTTTCTATGACACTTCTATTGGTATATTTACCCCAACTTATCCCAAGACTAATTTCGGGGATAAAAAATGGTTAATGTGGGTTAAGTATCATGTGGGTAGTTTGGGATACAAGGTTGCCATATCACAAACTACTATTTAACAAAAAATGCTTTTTCTTTTGAAGCATAAGTGCGACGTTTATTGCAATAAGAGCGGTTTTGAAGTCTAAGAAAGCAGTTATTAGCCGAAAACTGAATATAATTAACTTTTTTAATTGCCTTTTCCAAGCTTTAATTGGTTCCAAAGACTATAGACACGGCATATTTAATTTCAACACATTGGGAGGAAAAGCCTTCCTAAGCTAAAAATAATATTTATTTTCAAGAGATTGTGTTATTTGTTAAAAAAGAAAAGAAGCTTTCCAGCAAGTTCTCTGATCATTGAGAAACGATTCAAGTACAGTTAATTACTGTATCAAGCTGTTGTCAGAACAATCCTCTTAATCCACATACAAATAAATGAACCCCTAAACACCAGTAATCTACAAATCTCCCACACGTGAGATAATAAAATTTCGGGTTCTGTATTTAAAGCTTAGTAGAGATAATTGTACTAATTAACATATTATTTGGAGTCAACCTAAAAAAAACACAAATTTTAATAGCTTCCGAAAAAAATAATTATATCAAAGTCAGGCTGTTTTGGATCGGCTTATGGCGACAGTGTTTTTGTTTGTTTGTTTTTATACTTTTTTCTATCACAACATTAGTCAAGTTTTGCTATAGGAGTGCATACTATACATCCATGAAAAGGTTAACTAACAAAATTGTACAAATTAGTGCACAGTTTTGTAGGTCTACTGTGGTCTACTGAACTTTCTAATTCGTGCAAATCTGAGCAATTTCTTACAATTTTTCGTGGATATATGGTATGCAGTCTATTATTATAATACTAGTATTTTAATGATTAGTAGCAATAATTTAAAAAGTGAATATGGATTTTTTTAAGTAACTTGAAGCTATTTTGTGTTAAATAATATAATATTAGAAGTTTCACTAAGAAGTTTTATCACTGTATATTCAACGCTTAGACGATAAAAGAGTATAATTTCCAAAGAATTTTAGCCCTCATAGTTACCACGTGGAAAACCAGCATGGTAATACGAGGCATAGCTAAACGTTTAGAGCTTTACCAACGTCATTATCGTGATCATCATCACAAACTGACCAGCATATCAACATCATCAACATAAACCTCATCATCATCATCACCATTACCATCATCATCAACAGTATCATCATCATCACCATCACAATCAACGTCATCATCAACATTTTCCTCATAATCATTATCGACATCACTATCAGTGTCATCAGCATTTTCCATATTATCTTTCAAAAGATTTAGCAATTGTAGCGGCAACAACTTCACTAATTTTAACAGTATGCGCAAGTTTTTCTCCGCCGACCGAGAACAGTGCTAAATTTAACACCACATAAATCTTAAATTCTCAGCCCTTTCACGGGGGTCGGGGGACGGAGGTCCCCTTCACAGTTCCCTGCGCCATCTTGAAAGGTAGCTATGCCTTTGCATCGGAGCGAGACGAACGGTGAGCTTGCAATGAGAGAGAGACATGTAAATAATTTTCCAAGGTGTTAAAAAAGGCCTCAATTATTCAACGGCCACCTAACTTTACCTTTTTTTAATCACCCTACACACTCACTCAACAGTRATTACCGAAAATAAATAGATACTATTCTTTTTTCTTCTAACAGGAGAAGAATCTGCCATATCCTTATATCACCAACTGTGGAGGAAAATCTCTCAAGTATTTTAAGGATTATTCGCGTAGTAACTGCTACCTAGAAATGCTGACGGATCACGTCATTGAAAGATGTAACTGTAGAAGTTGGTTTATGCCTGGTAAGTGCTTTCTCACATAATTCTGATAAAATACAATTTTAGTGCATTTTTTCTATTTAATTCTATTACAAAGAATTCTTACAAATGGTGTAATATTCACATGTGAAGATATCATGGAGAATCTTTACATGTGACGATATCACTTTTGACGGTAAAGAACAAAATGGAAATTTCATTGATGATTATTTAACAGTTATTCCCTTCGGGCTAAGGCGTGAAGACTTTCGGCTCAAAATATTTTCCACCGATACCTACTTTGCTTTCAGCGAATAATTGTTAAACATAAAATATAGAAAACAACAGTTTTTTTTATCGGATTACACTTATTTTCAACAGCACGCGCGAAATCCTTTTAACGACCGGAACAAAATCGGCTTTTATCCTTCAAAACGTACAATGGCAATGTTTATGGACGCCTATCAAATCGTTTCCATAGTAATGAAAATCAACATAAAGATTTCAACGAGACACTTGCTTTTGGAAAGTAAGAGAAACGTCTTGATTGACAACATCCTTCCTGGCGACGGCAGATTCAAGATTTTGCGCAGTTATTGATAAACTTGAACGACTATAAAGCAAATGCCATAACACAAATTTTTAATACGGCTTATTTTGAATCAATCATCAATTTTAGTTTCTTGGGTTATTTTGTTTTTCAGAAGTTCCAAATGCCTCTACGTGCTCAGTGAATGCTACTCTGGAATGCGTTTGGCCTTCGTGGGGTAATATATTGCCTTATTATTAGGATTTTCTAAGTACTATTATTTTTATTTAGAGTTTTGTATACAATATTATATTTTATAAATGATGCTTATTCATTTGTCTTACGATTGAGGGTCATTTGTAGAGGACCGCGACGTTTCCACTGCAAACTGCTAGTCTTCATTAGGCGATGGTGTAGACTGGATGGTGTGTCTCTTATATACCGTTTATCGGACTATCTGCGTCGTGATTGGACGGTCGGTTCATGTTCTTATGTTCTTCAATCACGACGCAGATAGTCCGACGAGCGGTATATAAGAGACACACCATCCAGTCTACACCATCGCCTAATGAAGACTAGCAGTTTGCAGTCAAAACGTCGCGGTCCTCTACAAATGACCCTCAATTGTGAGATAAATGAATAAGTATCATTTATCACTTTTCCACGATGAATAATATTTTTCACCCAAATTATCAACACATACGTGGTGCCCTATTTTCCTTGAAATCATGCGATATGCATCATGCTGAAGCAGAGAACATTTCTTCCAGGGGAATGAATTATGGACCTTATGCAAAAAGGCATTCAAAAGGAATATCTTTTTTTATATATATTCCTGAAGTCCATTACATCCAGCATTTGAAAGAGCATGCTAATATTTTTAATTGAACGATTTAGAGCTCTGTTTAGAGCTCTATCTAAAATGATATTGAAATGAGAAGGATTTGTATTTTTTCTAGCGCATTTTAAATTTCTAAACTCTACAGATATTTGCCTTATACTTTGAGATTGTGAACTTTACCTATATACTTAATGGTCTTTCGGTTAATGACAGAAGCATTCCCTAATAAATGATTCATTTAATCTATGCAATTTCGGGCTTGATCTTTTTTCATAATGCATATATTATATCTATTATGTATGACTTTAAGGGGGGTGTTAAGAATTATTCTGGATATTTCAAATTTTCACCTCCCCCTCCCCCCTCCTGCCATACATTATGAGCGCAGCCTAACTATGGTTAATTTCAGCAAGGATCTTTTCTTTAGATCCCCCCTTCTCCTTCAATCACTACTTCCTCCAGTCCCAGAAGTCTTACAAACTATTTATCAATGCTTTTTATTGTTCACAGAGCGTTTCGATGGAAGAAGCTCTTACATATGTCCGGAAGACTGTTCGAAAACCATGTACGACGCTAAACTCTCGTCAGCTTTGTTTATGCCACATAAACTTCTTCCCCTAAAGCAAAAGCATTCGTATCTAACCCGTCCTCAAAATATTCCTAACGACACTAAGGGAATTATGGATTATATCATGTAAGTAATAGTGCCAATGAAATGATCCATTAATATATAGAGGTAGGGAAACATGGGCGGTGTAGTGGTTTAACGCTCGCCCCTCACCGCTGTGGTCCAGGTTCGAGCGACGGCTCAGACTGGATCTTACGTGAGTTGAGTTCGTTTGATGTGTTGTTCTCTCCACTGCCTCGAGGGTGTTTTCCTGGTTTTCCGTTGTCCTTCCTCCGTAAAAATCAACATGTGAGTGAGTGTTGTGAAATAGGAAAATGCACTCTTTTTTTAATGGCATTGATTTACATACACTCAAGTGCAAAATCATTGTGTGATTCAAAATATAGAAGGCAGAAGCTTGAATCGAAAGGTATCCTTGGAAATGACATAATTTCCAACTGATGTATTCGTTTGAGATACACAGTTCCGTTTGAAACCTGTCATAAAAGCCTCCCTTCTTTCTGTCATTGCAGCAATTTATATTTCAAACATTCCACAAGTTTTATTTTTAGATACATCTAATTAAAGTATTTCGATTAGAATGTACTATCTTAGTCTCAGCTTCTGTGTCATATGTTTTTGAACCTGACAAGGACTTTGAGTGTATAAATGGACATAACTAGCAGACAATGAAAAAATACGCAAGGGAATGAAAAGTGGTCTGAAATCGTAGAACAAGACTAGCCACTAATCCTAAGTAAATCCATCATACTAACCTTTTCCTTTATATCAAAATTCTTATTTAAAGGGAGAACTATGTAGTAGTGTCACTGTATTTTGATGAGCTGCGTCTTGACATCATTGAACAGAAACCGTCGTATGGTTTTTATAGACTTGTAGGTAAGGGAAAATTTATAGTATTGTACGACAAATATCTCCATTTTAAAATTTGATTATTCATATTTGAGATTAAAAAATGTTTTAACGTTACACTGAAAATGGTATCCGTTTTTGCATAGTAGCCAGGAGTTTATGTGTTGAGCTTTGGAGCGGAAAGCTCAAGCAGGAAATTAACAGGTGCTGAAGATGGTGATTGTAGAGATAATGATAATGATGGTTGTGCTGGTGATAATGATAATGCTGGTTATTCTCTTTAAAAAGATATTGCAAGTTGCTGCAGATGATAATGGTGCCGGGTTATGTTGCTTGTGATAGTCGATAACATGATAAGATGATATACGATGATAATGGTGGTTATGTTGCTTGCGATAGTCGTTTTAACAAACAGACATGTGATATCTGATAACATGATCAGATGATRTTGTGATGATGGTTGTTGTTTGTGATATCTGATAACATGATCAGATGATATTGTGATGATGATGATGGTTATGTTGTTTGTGATATCTGATAACATGATTAGATGATATTGTGATGATGATGGTGATTATGGCGTGATTTTTGTGACATCATTTGGCTGACGTTTGTATTGGATCTGTGGTCAGCCCCTCATTAACCCATTTCTTTTTTTGTTCGTATTGTTTTGTTTTGTTCTTTGTTCATTCTTTTATTGTTATTATTATTTATTTATTCATTTCTCCTGCGATATTTGTACCCTAAGTGTTATTTAACAATTATTCGCCAAAGGCAAGTGATTATCGGTAGAATATTTATCGAGCCGCGAGTCTTCGATGTGCGGTATAAATATCTCCATAATTACTGAGACAGAGGGGAATAATGTTAATCTAATTTTCTTTATTATTTCTCTCTTTTCTACAGGTGACGTGGGTGGTCAGTTAGGACTTGTCTTAGGAGCAAGTGTCATCACTTTGTTAGAAGTTACTGACCTTTTCATTATGTGGGTATATTTTTGGCTTAAAGGAAAAGCAAAGAATAGATCATCGAAAAGAAAATAGCAAAAACTGTTGTTAGGTTTATAAAGATATCAGAGGTTTTCTATTAGTGGATAACTTTCTATAAAAAGAAGTCGCTGACAACGCCGCCAGTCAAACTCTACTCTCTGCCTCTACACGATGACCTCAATGAAGCAAAATGTCGGACCGTCAACATGGAAAAGGAGCGTCTTTTGCAAGCGCAATAGCCCAATCACTACTGAGCATGAAGATAATTCAGTTGTGTAGTAATTCCAGCTGAAAAAAAGATAGAAGGATTTCCCACAGTCCTAAACATCTTGTAATATACAATTCTATCTTTAGAAACTTATCAAAGGGCGGTAACTTTATGAGATGCAAACTTAAATAGTACACCGCCACATCACTAAAACCCTTATTTACATTATGTACTCAACTTAAAAAGGGGCGGAATATCTTAGATATGAAAAAGATAACATTGTTAAGAATACTGCTGAGGAATGAAATAGAAGTTTGTATGAAGACGACGAACTTTCTTGTTTGTCTTTTTAAAATTCGGTAATATTTGGCGTCCCTACGTGAATAAAACTTTAAACGTTAGCTGTGACTTAAGAAATGCAATTGGACGATTCTGTTCTTTTTCACACAATAACATAATATGGTACTAGTATGTGTTTTTAATTGAGAGAAGTAACGTGCCGGAATGTTTAGCAATTTCTTGAAAGCTATCTTGGCCCTACCTATTAAGTTCGTTTACATAAAGTTAGGGTGACCCTACTGTTAGGACTAGCTCTTTTGTTTTTAGCGTTCCCTAGGGGGAAAAAACAAGGACCATGGTATCCCTATTACTACGGTCACCCTATTACCTTAGGTGAGCTACTTTTTAACTTTACGCCTTGCTTGAAAAAAAGAAATCTTCATTAAAAAAATAATGGTCCTCCTTTAGCTTCTATTTAATTTAGCGTTAATTAATTTTTTGTTAATTAATAGCCTCAGCATCTTCTTCTAAGCCTATGGCTAACCCTCATGAATTGTAAAGCCACATCCCTCGCTCCAAAGCACTTAAGGTGACTGCCTACTTTAGATCAACGTTCGATTTGGGCCCACGATTTGCGCACATACCAAAACCGCTGAATAACCTTCAACATTTCATATTTATTGAAGCCACATTTTGAACTTTAATAGGGCAAAACCCTAAAATTTTGYACGGGAAAAAACGTCAAAGATTGTATTATTTTTTTTGTAACAGTAGTTTAAATAATGCTCTTTCCAAGTAGCCAGTCACCTTAAGTCTTCTGACGTACTACATATCATATAGCTGGGATTTCTAACTAAGTTCTTTTCTTATGAGACAAGCTATAACATGTTCTATAAATACTGATAACGTTTTTGTATGTATTAACGATTCTTTCAACACGTTTAATAAAACGGTAGTTATGAATCTCTCTTGCAATTTTCTTGTAAATACACAAAGTAAAAATAGAATAATTGTCGAAAAAAGGTTGCAAGATAAAAAGGGTAGATTCAAATGAGCCGACATTTATTATTCAACTGTTTTAAAAATATAAATCAAGATAAATTTAATTTGTGTTATAGCTGATTTTTACCCCTAAGAGATACGACGAGCAGTGCTACCCGATACCTTTATCCCGAGTTCCCTCCCTTCCTTAGAGTAAGTCAAAACCGAGTACGGTGTTATTGCGTCGTATATCTCCTCTGTGGTAATGTGTTTCACCCTCGAGCCCGCTAACATGTTTGAGTAGAGAGGGGGTTCAATAGGGGATAAGTTGAAATTAAAGCCAGAATCCACTGACCCGAAAACAAATTGCTCAGATACGAATAACTTGACAGTTGCCTTGCATATAATTGTGTTTTACCAATTTTGTGTTTTAGACCCGCGATCTAAACTCTATAACCAGCGAAAACTAAAATATTGACCCAAAAAGCGCTACAAAGAGCAGGATACAAAAGTCTTAGATTCTAAAACTAGGTCAAACAAAGGCTTTGGGTATTGCTGGAGTTTTGCTGAATTTCACCTACGTAATCTTCAATTTTAAAAGCGTAAATGCTTCATAGTATTATAAAGTGATCAAACCTACATATACTGACAAGTTATAAGATGATCTGAATCATCACTATTAACACACCCACCTTCACTTATCATCATCATCATCATTAAAAAATTGGTTGGCAACATAACGCATATTTTTATTTGTTTAAAAAGAAATGGCAAATTTTTTAATGTAATGGACCTTCTTAAAATTTTCTTAAAATGCTAAAATGAAAATACAAAAGAAATGCCATAAATTCCATCGAAAGAGGTGTGATTTCTTTTGTATTTCCATGTTAGCCTCGTATAAACGATACTTGTGGAAAGGGTCCACCTGTCACATTCCCCTCCCAGCACACACACACAAACATATTTTCGACGTCTCCACCACTAGCAATCCCGTGCCAAAAGTAGAACAGCATAAAGTAACAAACAACTTATGGGCCATTGAAGTGCAAACCATATATCCGTGGAATAGCACAAAAACTAAATGACACTAAACACATCTATTTTATTCCAATTGTTTTATTGGTGCTATTTTGTACTATTTAGTTGGTACGGATATATGGATTTGCACAGTAGCATCATTATTTTCTACAACAAGCTCAATTCCGGTATTGGTAGTCAAATGCCTTCTTCCTCCTCTCAAGAGGCTCATTGAGGCCATATTTTAACATATGCTCGTCACGGTATTATTGTCTCTTTTAATCTTCCTTTCTATTTCATTTACAAGAATGAATCCGAAAACTGCACTTTTGATTCAAACTCCTCGAAATGAAATATTAAATAAGGTTCCGAAAAGGGTATTAAATTGATATTTATTCTTGTATAGGTATTTATACTTTCTTAAACTGCGTTTCAAAAAGCAGACTTTTAAAAACATTGTTAATCCATCAATTTAGTTCCAATAACGTTACTTTTTAATCCCTTTGTGTAGTTTCAAATCAAACAGAAAACATCAAATATACAAAGGAAATTCTCAGCATGCTTATACCAATAAAAGTCATCTATGTTGCGACTTATGACAAAAAGCGACCGCCTTTAGTTATGTCAGAAACAAAACAACATTAAAACATCCATGGGAGTTACTACTACTCAGTCCTAATTATATGTGTCCCTAATTAAATTTACCCTTCAATAAATACAGCCACCTTAGGATAAAGGAATAATTTGGGAGTTGTTAGGGACATTCCGTTGTACTACTGCTATTTCCAAAATACGTGGCTCCCCAAATTTCATGTTTTCATTTTATTATTTTTGACCTAAGAATTCGAAACTGAGTCCCATATTGCCAGGCCAGCAAAAACGACTATTCCAAGAATTGTTATTTAAAATAAGCCCGAAGCAAGGAAGCTTCATTCCCTTCTTTGCCCCCTCCTCTGCCCTCCAATTTATTTGACTAATTTCTCCACACAGACCCCATATATAACAATAATGGTGGAATGTATCATTGACACACAGAGGTGCAGAGAAATCTATGTTGCTGTTTTTTTTAATGATTTATGGTTTCAGGGGCCAAACTTTTTTAAAATTTATATTTGTTAGATCGTTCCCACATTGTATCCTGGGTACCAAAGAATTTAGACAAATTGTCTATTAATCAGGTCATTGGACAATATGGCGGCTACTTCTTAAGAAAGCTAATGAAATCGAACCCTGGAGACCTTATTGTATTATGTATGAGGAGAAATGAATAATAGCCTAAAAATTACTTCACTTAACATCTATACAAATCTTGGGGGAGACAAACATGTTGATATATGAATTGTAACATTTGTGGTATATTTTTTTAGGTATGGAGCAGCAATAATCCCTTAATGAGTTGCTATTTGCTACGACCATTTTCATTGCAAGAGCCTAGCTGTGCATGTATCCGAGCAAAGCGAGTCCAATTCTCACAGTCTTGTTATCAGATTTTCAGTCATAGCAGTGTGTATGTCCGTGGGATGGTTATCTTTCATTAAAGCGCCAAGTTCTTAACCAATCGCTTATAAATTGAAAATATAGATACATTTTCTAAGTTTGGACGAGGACTGTGATCCTGCATTCCTACTGCACTCTGAATGCTGGTAGAATAAAAATATAGTTACAATATAAAACGAATAAAGAAAGACTTCAAATGTGTTTTAAAATTTCTTATTGAATATCCTTGTATAATTTTTTCCCCGAACGGTTGGTTTGTGAGTGTTGAATATCTCAACTCAAGTCGTCACATATAGCATGAGTTCTTCATAAGCCATAACTAAAAATGGAATTTGTGTACTATAGAAAGCGTTTTTTTTTTTTTAATTAGTAGAAAATAAGAAATAACGTTGGTAAATAGCGAGGTGCAAAATTGGAACACATGAGTTAGAGGTGTTTATTACGTTTTATTTATGTTAAAGCATTCCAAATGTTACATTGATATTTTAATTCCTATTTTAGTAATATTCAAATAACTATTGAAGACGTGGGTGTTCACATGCTGTTGATATTTTCTTTTCTGCTTCCTACGAATAATTCTACGTAAGCCTCAAAAACATCAAAATCAATCGGGCAGCGTCAAATTCACGGCATAGTGTCGATTGCTTTTCAAGAAAACCTTTCGGAGCAACTATAATTGAATTTCTGCGTTTTTAATCTGTGTCAATTATCGCACTAGGAAGAATGCTCTAATTTTCTTTTTGAAATTCAATATCATGAAGTTTATAAAGCCATTAATATTTGATGTACGATGTTTGTACAAGCAGAAATCGTATCTTGCCACCAGCAGACAAATATAAAAACGTGCTTTTTTAAAGCTTATTTTCTCGACGCTTTCAGACTTCACAAAAATGACATCTTAATTATACCTTTATTGTAGAAACATTTTGCCTAGGGTAACTTGCACGGGAGCAAACAAAAATTGTTGTTCTTGATTTTTTTTTTCGAAGCTGCCTTTTCTTTGAACACAATGAAAATATTTTTTTCAATGTTTTGATAACGTTTTATTCTGTTCCCTGTGAAACAACTCCATAATTAAAAGCTATTAAACCTGTTTTCATCGATTTTATTACCCGAGTCTTAAATACGCAGTCTAAATTCGTTTCAAGCTTTTAATCGTAATGATAATCCTCTACCAAAACATGTTAAAATTAAAATTTTAAATCAAAAAAGTTCTTTTTTTTGAATAAAATTATGAATATATGAAACTTGGTCCTCCCCAAGCTGCCTCTTCATTGATTAACTATTTTTTTAAATTCTTTTTCATTAATTTGATATTTTTTCTGCATGAGAGACATCAGTATCGTTTTGCGCGCGAGCTTCAGCTGTTTAAATTGAAATACAATTAACCAGATATCTTTGTGGCTTTTCGTTTCTCCGAAGATTAGCACTTTTTCATCCCACATAACATGTTGTCCTCTCAGAAACGTCTTAAAAAAGCAGCCCCTTTAGTCCATTATAGATATATATCCAACCTTCACAAGTTCCTGTGTATCATTTCAAAAAATAATAGATGTATATTTGTAAGAATTCGAATAGCCTTAATTTTCTAATAACATGATAAGAGTTTATTTGAGCCCTAACTTCAAGGATTAAAAAGCTATGCCAATCCGAAAATATTTGGCTGATTTTAATTCTTTTGCATACAGAATTTTAAATTACGAAAATGAATTGTGTTTTACTGCAGTTAACAGTTCGAGTCGTTGGCTCGTTTTCATGTTCAGTTTGAAACTCCTTTTAAATTTATTTATTTAACATTGCAAAGTCTAGAATTATAAATTCGCTTTTGCTCAAACGATACACCAAAATACACAGTATTTCTCTCCAGAGCGAGCATGACAATTTCGAAAATCATTCTTAAAATGTGTTATGCAATTAAAGCGCTATTTTTTAACACGTCTTTAGTCTGGGATCATCGTGTTACTTTACATTTATTAGCGAATTTTCACATTATCCTCTCTCTTAACAACACTCAAAGACTGTAATTGTTTCCGATAACTTTTAGGGTAATCTTGTTACATCTAGTTCTAGATTTTCTCTATATAACGAGAATAAAATTGAGTGTTTTAAGTACGCAAACCATTAGGAATGCTAGCTCGGAAGAAATACTTGAACGTGAATTATTCATGAATTCCTTTTGTGTTTTGGCAAAAAAGAAAGCTCTGCCAAAATAGTTTTTTATAACTTTATAAGAAAATGTTAAAAAGAGCCGATTCCTCGTCTTAAGAATGCGAAGGTAAAAACCATAACAAATGCAAAGAACGCCTCGTTCTAAAACAAATGACAACAAGAGAAATCAGCAGGGGGGAAAACTCTCATAATGTAAGAATATTTGCAAGCATTAGCATATTGTCGTTACTAAAGAATTAGAGAAAACAGAGACTTTAAGGTGCTCTCGCTTTTGTAGGGTCTTCGAGGCTCTGTGTGTTGGAAGTGCAAATTTCTTACTACCAGATTGTTGACTTAAACATGCGAATGCCGCGGAATAGCACCTGCCGCCATGGTTTCGCGAATTGTAATGCAATTAGTATGAAATAAAATCAGAAACCGCGAGTCGCAAACCTTGGTGTGACTACTTTGCAATTCAGATGGGCCCAGTAATTGGGCTAAATAGCAGGTATGGGGTATCGAAGAGGATTTGCGATTGGATGATAGCGACTCGGCTTACGTTTCTCGCTAGAAACACCTTTTAAATTCAATTAGATAACAGACACTATAAAAGACTTGTGCAACGAATCTCTCAAAACCAGAGAACTCGTCTTTTTCTGAATAAGATTACGTCCATGTTTCACGTGTAATTGTTCGAAGTATTTGTCTGTGGTTGAGCAAGAATAATTTGTTCAACAACAAGTGATTTATGTTGGCCCAAAAACTGTTGTTTCTATCCAAATCCAAATCCAAGTCTATCTAAGCCTGAACATAAGTATGAGCTATGACAAGGAAAATTTAGGAGGCGACGACGGTGGAGATGTGAAGATTGTTATCAGAGGAAATGACCACAAAGCTCAACAAGGACCCAACAGTATATACGCTTTTTGTAACCACTGTAAAAAGGATATATCTGTAGTATACATTAAATCAGAGAATAATGGCAAGGATGTTTGTGTATCAGAATCGCTGTCACCTAAATGGTCCGTTCGAAACAATCATGGGGATTATCAGGAGAACGACTACGACAAGTGTCAAAAAGATAACAACTATGAAGGCTGCAGAAAGCTACTCGATGAAAAGAAAAAGAAGAGGAAAATCGGAGAAATGTGGGAAAATTTTCTCGGAAGTTGCACGCTCCATGGCTTTCATTACTGCTTCAGCGGTAACCCACCTTTACGTCGCATAGTTTGGACAATTCTACTGTTGACTGCGTTTGCTATGTTTTTTGAAAAATGCAGCGAGAGTATTAAAAGTTACTTTGAATATCCCTTCACGACTACCACACTTTTGACCTACACTGACCGTCTGCCGTTTCCAGCCGTTTCGTTTTGCAACTACAACGATGCACGCTTGTCAAAAATGAATGGCACTATCATGAATGAGATTTTTGTCCAATCGGTCCTAGAGGGGAAAAATGTCAGCCATTTAAAAGCCAAACTAAATGGAGAACTCATGAAAAAAACACTGAAAGATGCGGCCCATCGACTTGAGGATATGATCAAAGAATGCACATGGCAAGAATCGGTTCCGTGTTCGTGGCAGAACTTTACACTTTTCAAAACGGCGGACGGAGATTCCTGTTATACTTTTAACTCAGGAAAAATGGGTGAAATATTAAAAACTACTACTGTTGGGTCAAAGGAAGGCCTAAGATTGCTTATAGATATCCAACACGTAGAGTATTATTATGATGTCAAGAATGCTGGTTTTACTGTGATATTACACGACCAGGAAGAGACTCCAGTAAAGATGCAAGGTATTTCAGTGGCACCAGGTTTCGCTACCTACATGGAGCTTAAAAGACGAAAGGTAAGATCTAAAAAGTAACGATAAAAGTAAGATGTAACCACAAAAGTATCTAAATGACACCTAATTGCTTCTTAGATAAAATCTAAAAAAAGTACTGAATAACAACAATCGTCACAAGAACAATCTATCTATTTTCGGCCCTTGCATATACTGTACCAAGTTTTATATGAATATTTTTTAACAAAAAAGTGATAAGCCAGTGTGGGCTTATTTTGAATCGATTTTTTTTTGTTGACTTGATAAAATTCAATACCATTTTTTTAGTTTATAAAAATCTATATGGAGCCTAGCCAAACATAATCCCACACAACCAATGGCTCCTAAGCTTCCTAAGTTAATATTCAAATTCTGTCTGTCCCACTGAGAAGCATACTGACCAACATTCGAATAACTGTTTGGTACAAATGTTGAAACCTTAGGGGGCGAAAATCGTAATGGAAAGATTATACTGTCATCCTTTGATGTTTTGGCTGTATGTATTTTCTGTTCTCATTTAAAGTTAGCCTTTCCAAAACAAAACCAATGCACTATTCATCTGCCGCTTGCTCGTACATAGCACAACACAGAACAACATAATATTATCATCAAATGTATCAAATCAGTTCCACAAAAACAATGAGTTATGTCAAAAGGTTTACTTGGCTGATTAAAGGTTCAAAAGAATTGCTTTCAAATTTCCGAATTCGCCCTCTTTTATTTGTCCTGAAATCTCGAACGCGAGAAAAGACTATAAAGCTAAATAAACACTAAGTATTAAACCAATGAATTTTTTCATTTGTGTTTTTTTCTTTTCTCAAGTGATTACATGGCTTCTTCGGTAATTTAAGATTCGATTTTAGTTTTAACTACTAATTACGCAGCGGTCAAAGGTTTTTAATTTATCGTTAAATCACAGATGTGTTTCTATAATTACTTCTATTTTTGTTCTTTTCTAATCATCTGCTTAATGTGCGCTAATGCATAAACGAATAACGATATCAAAAGTTCAGCATTTCGTAGGCTCTCAATCGAATAAAAAAGAAACTATATTATATATTGCATTGTGTAACAAACATAGAAAAAAATATTGTTCTTTTCTAATTATCTTTTTCGTTTGTGAGTGTTTACGTACATAAACGAACAACTCTAAATTTTCTAGCTCCTATACTTTTTTAAATTAAACAAACAAAATGAAAGAGAAAAATTCAACTGGGATTAAATTCAATTCTAAATGCACAAGATGAAAAAACATTTTTTTTTGGAAAACCAAATTATTTTATTCCAAAGGCAATTATTCAATACTACAGAGTAAGAATATAATTACATCAAAAAATAATAATCAATCTAGGACAATTACCAGAGAAAAACACAACAATGTATATGTATATAGGTTGCATGTAAAGAAAACTGGAATTAAATTAGACGTAAAGGTATAACAAATAAACATTGTTTTTACTAATTTGAAACACACAAGAAAAGGATTATAAGACTGATAACTACTATTCAAAAGCTTTGGCTTCAGATTATGCTGGATAGCTGATGTCCTTAGAAAGTTACTAACGAAAGACAAAAAATTCTGATCATTTTTTATTATAACAAAAACAACCTACTTTCCCGAGCAACAAGAGGTGTCAGTGGTAATAGCACTTGATTGCATTTGATCTCATTTCGACAAATCATTACTTTTGAGTATATTTTTGTTTCTTCTAAGTTGAATTTTATTACTAGAGTTCCAAGGTTTCGGCTCACTGTCCCATCCTCAGGAAAGTGAAACATTAAGCTTGATAATTCAGAGAAAAAACTCAACGTAGAAGAAACAAAACTGAAATGCTCAAAAGCAGTGAAACCTACTTACAAAACTGTATTAAAAACATTATAGTATCGCATATTACTCTAATGTTGACTCTTTTAGTCAACTAAGAGCCAGGGTGAGCGTGAACGTGCACGTGATGGATCTCCCTGACGAACTCTATTTCGGACTGCGTCAGTTTATATATATTTATTTATTATCGTTAGTATTTTTATCTTTTATTTTATTTTTTAATGATTTACATTTCCAAGCTGTTGTTCGAGAAACTTCTTTTTTCCATGAGATTCTTCGTAATATCTATCATTTTTCATCATTAGCTTTGTGGGATTTCTTTTCATGGGAATACAATTATATTTTCTATGTATAATACAAGTAATGCTTTGGGAGTACATCTCGTTCAATTATAATTCTGATAACCCTGCATAAATCTTTATTCTGCATTCATGTAAACCATTTTTGATAAGATTTTTCTTCGACATTCTCCATAATATCTATCATTTTTTATCATTAACTCCGTGTGAATCCTTTTTATGAGAATAAAAGTATATTTTTTATGTATAATAATGTTTTGGGAGCCCAGCACGTTCAATTATAATTTTGATAACCCTGCAGAAACCTTTATTCTGCAATCACGTAAACCATTTTTGATCACTTTTTTTCCACGAGTGTCTCCGAAATATCAATGATATTTCATCATTAGCTCCGTGGGATTTCTTTTTATATTTGTATCTGGATGTATGATAATTATTTGGGAGCCCATTACTTACGTAGCACTTAGTAGTTTGATTATCAGGAATATCTTGTCAAAATGTCTGCTGAGTAGGTCCATTTTAGACCAGAAAATTAAAATATCTGATATACAAAATATCTTTCAAATATATGCAAGCTCACTAATGAAATTTCTAAACAAAATTAAAATATTTAGAATCAAAACGTAGGGTTATGAAATTTCAATATTGGGATCCCTTGAACAAGCTTGCAAACATTTCATTACATAATATGTTGAACTGAGAAAGCTCCCACGATAAGACACCTCCACAAAATCCCCCTCTGAAAGTGTTCCGGCCATTTGGGCGCCTAAAAAGTGTTCTGGCGCTTTATTCAAGAACGTTTGCGAGATACTGGGAATATTAAACTAATGGTAACAAAACCACGAATTGTTCAAAACGCCGTGATCATATTCTTTGCTCTGCGGCTTAAAATTGAAAGGCTGCCGACAGCAAGAAAAAGGGTTTTCACCTGAAACGTGGCATGTAACTGAGTGGGCACGTTAGTAATTACTCAAAAAAATAAATTCATTGTAAAGATTATATTATCATATTACTATCTTGTGAATACCAAGTAAACTGCAAAGCCGAAAATATATATAACCGAAGGAAACTGAGAAATAATTACAGCCATCCAAATTAGATTATCAAGATGAAAGAACTGATGATTCTAGAAATTGTTTCATTTGTAAAATAGTATTGCGCTGAGGTTGGATTGAAAGTCGATTAATAATAATAATAATAATAATAAAAACAATATAGAAAAGTAATAATCAATGAAGGTAGCTGTTACGGTGACTGTAGCGAAATTTGTCACGTTTTCAATTGTCAGTTTGTGTCACGGTAATGCTTCTGAAAATACAAAATTACCAAGGAAACCCAGACTTCATCAGTTTCGTTGATTTTATTGGAGTGGAATGGTAGAGAGTAGTGGTTTTATAAACACTTTTAGGCCTACTCAAAAGTATCCATATTTTTTTAAAAAACGGATTTTAAAAAAAAATTATAGCGTTTGAAAAACTGCGTTTTCGAGTGAATTTTTACCAGATACGTGTGGACAGAAGGCCAATCCGTAAAGAGCTATATATCTAACAAAGAAAAGTCATTTCTGAACCTATAATGAAAGGCTCAAAATAATAATAATAAAAGAAAGGTCTAACATTTGGGAGTTCGAAATTGGCTGCTTGTGTCTCTGTGCTGTGATATAAACACTCTGGGGGCTCTAGAGCTCTCGAAAACCAAGAGGAATGCTCGGCTAAGGCTTTTTCTAACCTTGATACTCTCGTTCTCGACAGCACTTCCCAGCGTGTTTACAACACAGTACAGAGACATGCGTGCGCGCTGTATATTGCTTATGGACGTTCAAGGGCTTTGATCGCTCGCATCTTTTCTAAGTACTAGTTTTTTTTTTGTGCGGGTGCTTCGTCATTAGAATGTTTTGATATGCAAAATATAAAGAAAACAACTTCTTCAAACTCTCATAAGTCTGTGATTCCCTTCTCTTAATTCGTATTTTGAAAGTACTTAATGATACATATTATCCACAAATAGCATTTCATTTTTCTAATTTCCAACACAAAGTTTAAATGCCAAGCAATTACTGGGTCATTTTCTAGCGTTATATGAAAAATGGGGATGCTTAATTATTTTTTTGACTGCTTTTGACAGCTTTCCATGCATGTTTGCCTTGTTCGCGCGTTTTAACCGCAAAAAGGGAACAATACAATCATTTTAATTGAGAAAGAATTCAATTACACATAGTAAATGTGTTATATTTTTCTGCCATCTATCATGGCCATCAGCACGTGAAGGTACTATCCCCTCTTAACCTTGCTTAATGGCAGTTTAAAATAAATACCAATAAATTAATTCAAAAAATTCCCAAAACTTCTTTGAAATATCTATACTTTTGGGACTTGATAGAACGAAAATTTATAACTAATATTTTATTGTAATATTTTAGGTAACGAACTTACCTTTGCCATACAAGACAGCATGTGGAATGCCAAAACTAAAATACTTTGATACCTACACCAAATCGAAATGTTTCTTGGACAAACTCACCCGATATGTGGATGCAAAATGCAAGTGTAGAGATTGGTTTATGCCTGGTAAGTATCATAATTGTATCATCACTCTATAATCCCATATAATCAATTTCTCGTTCCTGTCCAAAAGAGTAATTTGGATCTTTTCCATTCCCATTCTTTCGAGAGAAAACTAATTAATCTGCAATAGGACTACATGTCTGCCCCAAAGTTGACTCGGCCTTTCGGCCTCTTCCGATTTTGTCAGTCCTCGGAATTTTTTCATCCAATTATTTCCAAATTGGACAGCATGTAGTCATATTACCTATTCTAACAGTATTGAGGAATCTTGTAAATGAATTACAATAAAATAAAAATCTTCAGCTCAAATTGATACTATTTGAACTTCAAATGAAGGATGTTATATAGTTACTAAAACTATAAACAAAACTTCTCCATCTAAGCATGTGCTTTTTCAAAACACAATTTGGGATTTTAAATATTTTTACTTATTATATCTATCAAATTGTTATTTTTCTGTCTTACAGGCGAGGGCGAGATTCCCGTATGCGACCTAACAACAGCCGAACTCTGTTTGTGGCCTGCGTGGGGTAAGTAACTTACGCATCACGCACTTGAAGCGCACTTAACCATCAGACTAGTAATTAACTCAAGGGCCTGGTTGCACAAAGAGTAGATAGCGTATATCCGACGGATTTATCCAGTGGATAAATTTATAGGATAACAGTATGATTTTTCCATTGGATAAGAATTTTTTTATCTGATAGTGCTACCCACCCTTCGTACAACCGGCTCTTTTGCTGTATTACCAAACGAATCCTTCTCGGGCAAAGCGCGGGAGGACACAAGGGGAAACAGGTCCCATTTTGAAATGTCCCTCCCGTCCACACTCACACACATACTACATTTAATATTCCATAAATACTACATTCAACTTAAATGTAGATTTTTAAGGAGGGAGAAAAACGGAGAACCGGTGAAAGCCCTCGTAGCATAGGAGATAACGACACATCAAACTCAATTCACATATGGTGACCCGAGCCTTTGGCCTTACAGTGGTGAAAGAGACCGCGTTAGCAGCGTACGCCACCCAAACTACCTAGATTTTTAACTGGGTTTTAACTGAAGTGGTTGAGATAAAATTGCGATTACGACTAGGACCACAGTGTAAACCAAGCAATCACAAGACACCTTAGTAAGTTACATTTTTTATTTCTATAGAGCATTTTGAAACAAAGAAGCTTGATAACTGTCCCATCGCCTGTGATAGCATCGAATACTCAGCCCAGCTCTCTTACGCGAGGTTCCCCGCTAACACATACGCCCAAATGCTGGCTAGACAGTACAACCTCACTGGGACTCCTAAAGAAAACCGGGAATACCTCAGGTAATTTGCTATCCATTTTTTTTTTTTTTTTTTTTTTTTTTTTTTTTTTTTTTTTTTTTTTTTTTTTTTTTTTTTTGTATCTGTATATCCTCTGGCCGTTATTTATTTAAAAGACGATGCACGCTTTGCGGCTTATTAATAATCAAGTGCTTGTATACTTGATTCTCTCTCGTTAGGCTCAGGTCAAACGTCAAACTTCAACATGAGCCGAATTTTATAACAATAAAGAAGATCACCTTGTTATCCATTGTTTCAATTTGGTTCGGCTCATGTGAAGTTCGACGTTTGATCTGTGCCTTACTCGCTTATATTTAGCTATTTCAAAAACAGTTGGTGTCGGAAGGTTTTGTTGAATAGATGTTTTCTGAGATAGTGAACATGGTGCACTGTGGTGTAGCTTCGGTAAAAGCATCTCGTGTTTATCATGCCTTATATGGTGTTGTTGGTACCGAAGATAGACCAAAATGCATCCTGTTTAAATTTAGAGAAGGCCTATATTGTTTAACGGAACGACGTACAGATAAAGTTTGAGAAAATTCCATATTTTTGTCACCTTTCGCTGATTGCATTCACTCAGTGTAGCATGCAACAAAACCTTCACCAACCTTTCTTGGAAAGGTTGTATACACCGTGAATTTGTTCTTTATGTGAATGAATAAATACTTACCATTGAAATTTATGACTTCCTCTCAACATTAGGGATAATCTAATGGAATTAAAGATTTATTACGAGGATCTGACGTTTAGTGATGTCCGACAAGTGCCAAGCTATGATCTCTTTGGTCTTCTAGGTACGATCAATAATCATTTCTTGTTCTCGTGACTGCGTGCGCTAAGAACAATATTCATGTGCTACGGCAATAAAAAGGCAAGGGTGGTTCAAGGAGTTTTTGGGAGGAGGGTCCAAACGTGTACAAAGCGAAACCTGTTAGAACTTGTAACTACCACTCACTTCTATCCTCCCTTATAGTTACATATTAAAAAATAAATTTGTACAAAATACAAAATTTACTTCAAAGCTGCTGTGGCAAAACTAAATTCTAGGGTAAAACAATGGATTTATCCCTTAGGTAAGACAGAGGTCCGCAACCGCCTCTTAATCAAAATTCAAAATCATTTTACTCTTTGCATAATTAATATTGCTTCTCAACAGCAAGCGCGGAATTAGCCGTTGCGACAAAATGGGATTTTGGCGGAGGTCAATCGAAATGTATGGTTTCATTTTCTACCACACCTTCTTCGTCGCGGCGGCGATTCTCTTTTTCGGAATTGAGAAAGGGACTAAAGCCGAGTAAAATTAATCTAATTGCGAAATGATCCCCATCACAAAAGAGACCATATTAATATTAGTATTATTGCCGAGTACTAGCATTTTTGAAAGAATACCTACTGAGTAGCAAGCTTTTAAAAATCTCACAAATAAGAGAGAATGTACGGGGCTTGAGGACCGCGTACCCAAGAAACATACATTCTCTCTTTTATTATTACGATTTAAAAAAAAAAGTATTCCAATCAGTCAGTATTTGCCCTAACATTCTGAAACACGATCTTAATTTTAGATTGAGCTTTCATGCGATGGGGTTTGTTAAATTTGATTAACATTTCTACACTCGTTCCAAGTCCCTTTTTGCGTGCTATTGAGAAGCACTACAAATTCGCAAGGTCTAGCTTTAGAGGATAGTGTTCTTGGGGTGCATGTTACGTCACAGCAGCCATGTTAGTTGACTAAAATAAGCATCTCTAGTTAGATCAACCAAGATAGCGGCTGTTCCATTGTTGGTTTTTTTTTCTATCTCAAGAGATTATTCACTAACATTGGTGTGATCGAATCATGACATTTTAAAACGGTTGCTCTTTTTAGGTGATGTTGGTGGCCAGATTGGACTTTTCCTTGGTGCAAGTCTGTTAACCATAGTCGAATACTTGGACGTCCTTGGGATGATGGCATACACTTCTTATAAATATAGAAAATGAGGTCCAAAGAGAGGATTTTTAGAATTTAGATCACGGCATAATGTTGCCAGGTGAATGGTCCAGGCCAAAGCGTCGGATTCCTGAAGCGAAAAGAGGATGCCATTCTCTGAAATAATTCAGGCCATTACCTGAAGCAGCCCACTTTAAACTATAAAACTCGGGGTTAGTTAAAAACTCGTTGATATCCGTTAACTTTAATTATCAATCATTGTTCATGAACTATTAACTTCTGACAAATTGGCTTATCTCTGGTGTAATATAATTTAAACAGTACCGCTGACATCACAGTACTAAAAAAAAAAACAATACCATTTTTAAGATCTATAGAACGAGTCACTATAGACATAACAAAAGACATGCATAAATTATATTACACCGGAGATAACCCGACAACTTGCAGACCATAAAAAAATGGAATCTGCTTGTGAATCATCTTTTTATATTTAGAATTCTTGTTGCTCAGTGTTAACGTCGATAGTGTGTAAGATTCGATGGGTTTTCTCTTGCTTTCTCCCTTTTCAAACCCTAAATTCCAATACACCGATCCCGCATTCATTGTTCTACCTCCCTGTTGCTACATCGGACAAGCTAAAGTGTGTTTTTGATATACAGCATGAAACAGATACCGACTGCTGAAATCGTAAATGTCTGTCTTAGAATCAAGGAAAGGGAAAAAAGCGATAACTAACAAAAAAAAACTTTAGATTCCATTCGAATGGGAATAAAGGCGATGCGTAGTGGTAGTGCATACGTCCCTAACCTCTCAGGTTTCTCGGCCTCGACAACCTATTTCATCTGAGTAGAGTTTTGGGATACCCCTTAATCTGAGAGATTTTATCCGGATTATTTTAACCGAAAACCCAACAACCTAATTCCATTTTGATCCTTCAGTTAACCATGTCTTGCTTTTGATCAGCTCCGAGGTTGCTGTATGGTATCCATAAAAAAAATCAAATATGAAATGTTTACAGTAGCGATAACCTGATGAGCAGGTGCTTTAATATAGGACTTGGATAAATGTTTTTCTTCCTAGAGCTTTGAAATGGGGAAATATTACGCCTAAAGTACAAGGGTCCATGTGCACTTCTTTGGTCTGGTTCGCACATGCATTACAAATACATTCAACGAAAGAAAAATAAATGTTAGGAGAAAAGATGTGGCTTTCATGTTGACTGTGATAACAAAACAAGAAAATCTTTTGTTATGAAACCAATGTGGCAGTAAGTCTTCACATATACTCTTCCCCAGCAATTTTGCATTTCTTAATGGCTGTATTTGTGAGTATTAACCAGACTTCAAGAGGCACTAAACGTAAACAATGAAACTTTGCAATTATCGCGATTTCCATTTGCCCTCACGGTGAAAACGTCTTCGGCCACTGAAATTAGTCATTGTAGTGTATAGACCCCAACCCTGATGACTTTTCATACCTAAACCACTATAATTCTTTTAAAGTTAAATCTCCTTTGAGAATGCAAATCGAAATTAATAAAAAGCTAAAGAAAGGGATTCCGGAAGTGTAAGTATAAAAAGTCATCATGCTTGAAATCAAGAGAAAATGAACTAAGAGAAGGAATTCCCCCATATAGCCTTGTAACCATCATGTGCACAGTTTTCATGTTTTTTTCTACGGTGTTTGCTTACGTTTTTGTGGTTTTTCCGTTATTTCGACTCTGCCATGAATATGAATGTGCACGTCGAAAGCTTGGAAAATACGAGAGGAAATTGAAGTAGTAATTTGTTCAACTTTCTGGAGTATTTTTACATTTATTTTCCAAAGCTTTCGACCTACATCGTCATCTTGAGGGCATATTTGAACATTTGAACATAAGAAAAGCACAAGAAAACGTTAGCAAACAGCGTAGAGCGCGCGCGTGCAGAAAATCAAACGATCAAATAAATAATATTATTGGATGATATTTTTAGAATAGATTCTAAAAACAACATCAAAGTGTGCACATGATGGGGCACGGGGATTCCTTATTTTAGTTCATATTCTCTTGTCGAGGTATATTAGCCATTCCGAGGTTAAGGTAAAATATATATAACAGGTCGCGTTGGCATTTCAGTGCATCGTGGGACTTTTTTAGCAGACGAAATGGACGCCATCTTTGAAATATGTTTACCGGTCTAAAACAGCCCCAAAATGAACTGTTCCTCGGAAGAATAATATGATTTATATGATGTACTCTTGGGTTTGTCTTGATCGTTAAAGAAAAATATCGTAAGTTTTTTAATTGTTTATTTATTTATTTTTTTGGTAGGGACCGGCCATTGTTTAGAGAAGGGGGAAGGGGAGGGAGGGAGGTGGGTTTTAGTAAGAATTACGCAAGAGGAAGGACCACAATTAACAAAGTGATTTTACTTCGCCCGTGGAACAAAGTTGTATAACTAGTGACTAGCGGTCAAGAAAAAAAAAAAAAAAAAAAAAAAAAAAAAAGAAAGGTACAAAAAAAAAAAAAAAAAAAAAGAAAGAAAGAAAGAAAGTCAGCAATGGATATCGTGTCTACTACTTAGTATCAACGCTAACTATTCTTTCAAGGGCGAAGTAAAATAACTCTAGGATGTAATTTCGATTTGCATTCTCCTTCTATACTTATTTCAAGAAAGTTAGTCTACTGAAAAGCTATAAAGCTGAGGCCGACAAGGATTATCAGTAGATACATTTTACATGTTTCAACCGCTCGATAACTGTTGATGAATTTGAGATCTTTTATCAGTTACAGTCTCACTTCTCCTGAGCATCCTAAAGCTGCAGTTTGTATCAAAAAAGCTGTACTTGTTTCAAATGTATTATTTCCCATGATCCTCAGTGATCTCAGCTTTCTAGGTTTTTGGTGATTAACTTTATTGAAATAAGTATATATAAATAATGGCTGATTCAACAGAGAACACCTATTGCAGAGTAATAATGGATGTGAAGTTATTATTAGGAAGTGGTATTTCAAGGAATATCCATTTTTCAGAAAAAGTATATTCTGAATTGTTTAAATAACAGTGCATTCACTCTTAAATAATAATAAAAAATAAAATATAAAAAATGAAATAAATAAAAAAATGGAGGGAAGGGATCTTGTACACCTTGTAGTGATTTCATATGCCAAAGCTAATTAAAGATATTTAAAAGTAAAAATGATCTGGTACACCATTTCACCATTGCCAATCCACAGAGCCCTAGGGCGACAAGGGATCCAGGTTCACCATTTCATGTTTGCCAATCTACAGAGCTCTTGGGCGACAAGGGATTCAGGTTCACCCTTTCATATTTTCGAAGTGAAGGGTCATTTCTTGGTTTGGCGCGTTGTGCACACCCCTAACTCCGCCCCCTCCCCACCCCCGGGACCCCATCAGTCAGCCATCCAGCACTAATGGGTCTCTTACCTTAATAACCTTGTCACTTTTTCAGGTGCGCATGCACTGACTGAGTCTTGGGCCTGAAAAAACAAAAAACAAAAAACAAAACAAAACAAAGCCTTAAGCCAAGCTTGGCGCTGAGAGTGGAACGCTTTGCAAAGGCAGGGGGAAGTGTTGACGTCAGAACTAGGGTCGGGGGATCTGATTCTATGCCTTTTAAAAACAACAATATTTCGTAAATCAAATGGAATAGCATGCAAATGCTTGGAGACCAACARCAAAACAAGAATACTTAAAAAGCTGCAACCCACAGAAAGACACCAATTATTGTTTTGGCCAGCTATGCATGGCCCAATTGGCTTATTTACGCTAATTTACTGATAGAAAATCATCTATTATGGGTAACAAATGAAGAAATGAAACATAAATTTAAAAAAGGCAGCTCTTGTACAAAAATTAATGACAGCTTAGACCAAAATTCAGGGGCCTCTTTGTCTATGGGTTGGGTCCTAAAGTCATCAGGTAAACGAAAAATGTTCAATCCACTTTAGAAGGAATACCTTTGCAAGAAATTAGATTTTGGACAGATCACGGGACGTAAACTGGATCCGTCTACTGTGGCAAAAGATATGAGAACCGCTAAAGACTGTAAGGTCGACTGGAGGTCGCCTCTTCAGTGTAGATGAATTCCTCACAGCACTACAAATAACAATTTTTTTTTCTAGATTAGCAAAGAGTCGGAAAAGCAATGCTCAAGTGGTGAATGAAAAAGACGAGGATGAAAGTAATGCATTACAAGAGGAAGTCGAGATTATGGTGCTTGTTAGTAGTGAGGTCGAGCTTCATCATCCCATCATGTACGACACATACGATATCTGTGAACTTGTGGCAAAAAAGAGTCTTTGCAAAAAATTCAGTGTCACCGCTCTGAAAAACGTGTGTACATTTTGATCTTGAAATTGCTGATGTGACCGTCAAACGCAAGAAGGCATATGCAGACAAGCTTGAACAACTAGTCAAGTCCTGATCTTGCTCTAGAGATAAAGCTGGTATAGATGCAATTGCTTCTCGGCTTCTAGTGAAGAAGATATATGAAAATTGCAGTCTGACGAAAATACGCACATTGTGGTAGTTAGTCCTCCTACGTACTACTTTTGACTTTTGGTAAATAACGCTAACTTGATAAAAGCATCCTATATTCAATAACAAATACCAATACCCCAAAGGAGGGTTTGACATTGATTATTTTTTTTACATCTTTTTTCCTTGTTGTGTCATCGTGTTGAATAATTAAAGCTTTCACACCAACCCAGGCATCCATCGCTCTCGCTTTAGTACTTCCCGGTAACTTCGACCGAGAAGCACTGGAGCAACTCTAAGATCTATATTAATTATCGTTTCAGAGATAAATGTATATAAACTTTTAATATAAGGCTAGTTCATAATGTATGTCAGAGAGGGGGTGGGGGTGGGGGGCAGGTAAAAATTTGAAATGACCAGAATAATTCTCAACATCCCCCTTAAAGTCGTGCAAAAAATACGATCCCCCCTAAGCAAGGCTTGTAGCTTTTTTCAAAAATTGTGCATCCCCCCCTTTTTCCTACCAAAATTTTCCCGTTCCCCCCTCTATTTCACCTGACCCCCTCCCCCCTTTTATACATTATGAACGCAGCCTAATTTAAGTTATTTACACTAAATCTTTTTCATGTTAATATATGTTGAATGTTTGGAAATGTTCTGCATCTAAATGAGGACAGTTCAGCTGGTTCAAAATCTCGCTGAAGATCTTGCGAAAGCATATATCAATCGCAAAAATGTGAGATTGGAGCCGGTTTTTAGTTCACTGATATACTTTTTACCTACAAAGCATGCTTTGTGTCACGCAAAAGAATGAATTTAAAAAGTATGTGATATAATATATCAATATATCGCAATTAAAATGTGTTGGTATTACTATGATGTCTTTTTCTTGGTTTGATCCCCTAGTTTTAGCAAAATTCAGCGATGGAATGATTGCAATTAAAATTATAGTCACGTCGGTGGAGGTAACGCAACAAGTTGTTTACGGTTGAAATATCGCGAAATAGAGATCGAAAGCTAAAAATGATTTGCCCAGAGACTTTTCTTTTGAATCTGATAGAAATACATTAGATAATCCTCTGGGTGTAGGTTTTGGATAATTTGGTATCTCCGCACATAGTTTTTATAAGCAGTATTTTAAGGCTTTAATTTGCATTTTTAAACTTTGGAAAAAGTGTACACAGCAGAAAATTTTTTTCGAATCTTAAATCGCCAAATATTCTAGAATAAATACAACGAAAAGCAAGAGGAATACCTATTCCTTCGGTAAAAAGTACCAACCGAAAAAATTGTTAAGTAGTTTAGCTTTAGGATGCGCTTATTTTTGTACTAAATTCCTTGACCTCGTCGGTCATTTTTCCCATGCATTTGGGCGAAATCTATTCTCGTAAATTTCGTGGGGAAATTTTTTTTTTCAAAACTAACAACATCTCGATTTACTTCACACTAAGGGCTATCTAAAAACAAAATATGAGCGAAATCCATTTTTGACTTGTGCCGATGTTTGGTCGACTCTTACAAAAAGTCACTCATATATTTCCAAAACAATATATTTTAGCGGTTGATAAAGTATCAACCCATCAAAATGGCGATTACACAAGCCCCCTCTCATTTGTTCCTAAATTCATGCTAAAAGCAGTCAGTAACAATCGTGGGGGAGGAGTGGGGTGGCCTAGGGCCTGGCTTCGCCGGCTCCGAAAATTGTGGGGGAGGGGTGGTAGCTTGGCTCCGCCGGCTCCTCGCTCCTCATGGCGTAGAACCGCTATTTCATATCTACTTGTGTGCCGTTATAAAGCACTTGGGAATTGCCAGAGCACTCGAGAGGTGTCCAGACACTTCTCCAGACACAAGTCTCCTAACACTTCTCTCGTGTTCTGCCAACCCCCACGTGTTTTATGACTGCACACAGCACGCGCGCGCGTTCTGATTGGTTTGGAGCGAGTGCTTTATGAGAGCACATTGCACGCAAGCGCACTTTCCGTTGCGTCATTCCTATCTAAACTAACGGTTATTATCTTTTGTATCTTGTATCTAAAAGAAATAATGCTGTGCTGTATGCCGTTATAAAGCACTTGGGAATTGGCAGAACACTCAGGAAGTGTCCAGAAGAACTCCACTACGCGTCGTGCTTCTTCTTACACTTCTCTTGTGTTCTGCCAACCCCCACGTGCTTTATGACTGCACACAGCACGCGCTCGCGTTTTCTATTTATTCAATACACCATGCACGTACTGCTTCTAGCTGATGCAGATCTTACATTAAAGGCTTTAATATCTTGTTCATTCCATATTTCTTTATAAGGGGATCTCTGCACAGAGCAAGTAGTTGAATAGACTTTATAACAGAACGGTATTGTGGTCTCAAGTTTCCAAGAATAAAGTAATAAGCTCCTGGTGTCCACAAAATAAAAAAATAACATTAACAAAACATTTTAACAGTTTTCCATTTAAATCTGTACTTTACCATTTAATTTTGTACTTTTTAAAATGAGGAGATTTTGTGTGGGTCAAGACACATCTCAACCAATCACAGCAGTTTATTTCATCAGAACAGTTTCAACACAGTATCCTATGGTAATATGACACTTCGTGTGTGGGATAGACTCACTGTTAATCCAAACAACTGTTGGTCTGGTGGGTCATTCCACAGGATTGCAAATGACAAAATGATTGCAAAAATTCTATTGAGTGCTTCAGAACAAATACATAACTGCAAAATAATTGTTGCCACAGGCGGGTCCCCTGTGTCAAGTGCGACGCCGCGCGGTATGTCCAGCGGTCGCGCGTATAAGCATACGTTGGGACTACGTTGTTCGCCCAGATAGAACGATTACTGTCTTGTTATCTAACCGTAAAGAGTAGTTTTTTTTTGGTTAAATTGATGTAAATGCGATCTATAAGCTATTAAAACGGTTTGAATTAGAACAAGAGTAACTTTGAATCGAAACTCCATCCCCAAGTGGCGATGGCAGCCACAATAACAAGACAATTTGGAGCTGAACACGCGACGAGTTCAGTGAAGTCCTTTGGTCAAGGTTGACTGGTTCAAGGATAAATAACAGCAAGTTTATAGGATATTTGTGTCCAAAGTTGAGCACTAGCAGATACAAGGTAAATTTCGAAGTAATAGTCGTGATCTTGAGTTGTTCAAGTGAACATGGAAAGTGAAAATGGAGTTGTTCAAGTGAACATGGAAAGTGAAAATGGAGTTGTTCAAGTAAACATGGAAAGCGAAAAGGGAGATAATGGTATCCGTCAAAGGAAACCTACAGAAAAGGGCCTAGAATATCAGCTGGAAATTAAGGTAAAGAATTTCTTTGCAAAGAAAGCAGAGTTATGTAAGGAAATGAAATCTATCCTTAAGTTGAGAGGACAGTGCGAAGATATATCAAAGTGGAAACAGGAGCTAAGTAGAGCCCATATTATCCAGTTAGATCTTGCTGATATACATGGCACAATTGCTCAGCTGAGTGGTGATGAGGGATTACAAGGCCTTAAGGATGTTTGGAGCCAGATTTCAAGTGAATGGAACAAGTTTCAGGAAGTTGTCGAATCAGAGATCAGGTATGTGGAACAATTACACTTAGAACAAACAAAATCAGTATGTGGGTCTAAAGTTTCCAAGACTTCAAGAAAGTCGAAACCCTCCACAGGAAGTAACCGAACCGGCCTTTCACATACACGTAATAATAAGTATGAGTTACAAAAGAAAGAGGCTTCCTTAAAGGTTGATCTTGCCTTCTTGCAAGATGAGCAGAGACTTGATCGTGAAAAACTTAGGCAAGAACAGGAAGCAAGGGACCTGAAGCTACAGAAAGAACTAGCTCAAAATAATGCCCAACTAAAAGTGTGTTTGGAAAGTGAAAGGCTGGGATCTGAGTGGAATGATCAGAAAAGTATTCTTTCTGCKCTCCCAAAGGAAAGCCATGCTGACTCTATAGAGAGATATTTTGATTCATTTCTCTTCGAGCAATCCCATGATGAGCCAGTGAAATCAGTTGACAAACAATATCCCTCAATTCCTCCTCACCACGTTGCTGTATCTAGTTCAGCTGAGAATGTAACAACTGTTTACTGCACCACAAAGCCACACACTACTGCTACTTTCAGTGCCCCCCTCATCAGCCCAGCTCAGTATGCTTTCTTAAACAGTCAAGATATAGTGCAAGGCAAACACAGTTTCAATCCAAGCACAAACGACAAAGAAGCTGCTCAGTTAATAGCAGACTTGCCCTACACAAACTCTAACCTCCCTTGTTCCCAGTATACTGCTGCTGTGACTTCAAGCCACCTTTATTCCACTCCAGTGAGTGCCAGTCAGCACATTAGGATGTTCAATAAGATATCTCCTATCAGCTCTAGTGCCCTTACCCTTAACAACAAGCAGCACCATCCACCCGCTCACGAAGATGATTCTACAGACAAGAGCCATCACACATCTGGTCAAACAAACCAAAGAGCTCCTGTGTCTGAAACTAAGACTGTAGTAACTACCCTTCCTGTGGTGCACGAACACCTCACAAGCATGAGAGACAATGTTGAGCTACAAAGAATACATCAAGAACCGCAAGACTCAACCACTAGCCCCGCTGAGTGGCAGAGAGTAGCCGTTTCCCTAGAAAGGTGTATGTGTAAGTTAGTAGARACTAATGACAGACTCTTAACTAGTATAAGACCTGGCGAAAGAACTAGTACATCTCCTTCGAGAGTTAAAGTAACAATTCCAATCTTTAGTGGTGACCCATTACAGTATCCTATCTGGCACAGCTCTTTCAAAGCTCACGTTGATGTAAAGGACTGGGATGCAGATACAAAACTGAATCTTCTCAACCAATACGTTTCTGGAGGACCCAAGCAAGTCGTGGAGCACTACCTACTTATTGGCACTGAGGATGCCTATGTTAAAGCTAAATCGGTGCTGCACRAAAGGTATGGCAACCCAAATGTCGTAAGTTCGGCATTCCTGAGCAAGCTGGAGAAGTGGCCAAAGATAAACCCCAGAGATGCGGGTGGTCTGAGAGAGTTCTCAGACTTCCTTGACAAAGTTGTCGCTGCCAGAGAAAATATTCAGAGTCTCGCAATCCTGGATTTCGCGAAAGAAAATGTGAAGCTGATCGCTAAGCTGCCATACCACGTCGAGAGTAAGTGGAGAGAAGTGATAACGACATGGAGAATTAAGAACGGTGAATCTAGTTATCCAACCTTCTTGAAGTTTGCAGATTTCGTCAGAGAGACCGCTGACAGGGCCAATATACCGGAGCTAGAGGACTTGTCTAAGTTGACGAGTAAGCCTAAGTTGGTAAAGGGTCCAGGTATWCAAGCTCTAGCAACTTCAGCGTCGACCTACAAACAACAGCCKCGAAGAGAGCCGACAAAAGATCAAGTGATCAAGCTCGAGAAGGACCTCAAGAAAGGGACTGCAGAAAGAAAAGACCAAAAGACTTGTTTGTACTGTAGCAAAGAGCATCAYCTTAATGACTGTAAAGACTTCCRAGAAAAACCCTTTTCAGTGAGAAAGAACTTTTTCTTTAAAAGAAAACTATGTTTGGGTTGCACCCATGGCAACCATCAAATCAAGGATTGTGAAAACCTGCCAACTTGCAAGCAGTGTAGAGGAGCCCACCTGACCTGTCTGCACCAGGAGGAAAAACCGGAAGATAAAGGAGACAGCAAGTGTACTAGCGTGTGCGGCATCAAGCATCAGTATGGAACTTACAACAGTATGATTGTTCCGGTTTGGGTACGACCTCAAGCGGACCCATCCAAGGAGATTCTTCAATACGCAGTGCTGGATGATCAGTCGAACGTCAGTTTTATCTCCAGAAGTTTGTATAACCGCCTAGGCCTTCAGGGAACTCCTGCAACRTTGTGTTTAACGACTATGCAAGACGCCGATGTACCCGAAGAAACCAATCGAGTCAGTGGAGTGGAAGTGCTTGATTATTACAAGGAGCATATTATCAAGCTGCCTACCCKGTACACCTGGAAGAAAATATCAGCCGATACCTCTCAGATCCCTAAACCTGAGGTTGCTCTAGAATGGGACCATCTTGTAAAGATCGCTGAAGATATCATCCCTTACCAACCAGGTGTTGAGATATCTCTACTCATAGGAAGTAACTGTCCGCAAGCCATCCGCCCTCGAGAGATATGTGCGGGAGGTGAGGACGAGCCCTAYGGTCAGAGGTCCTTGCTTGGTTGGGGCATAGTTGGTCAAGTCTGTAAGTCAAGACAAGAAATCCAAGRTRAAGTGTGCAACAAGATCTCTCAGATGCGCAGTCACTTCGTAGTGCCTCCTAAGGCGAAAGAAGTTGTTGCAACCGACGTACTGAAAGTGCTGGAGGCCGACTTCCAASAAACAAGTACAAGGTCAAAACCCCTCTCGGTTGAAGACAGAAGGTTCCTGCGACTACTGGAAGATGGGATATGTAAACTTGACAACGGACATTATCAAATGCCACTTCCTCTTAGGACAGAAGGAATTAGTCTTCCTTATAACCGCCCTCTAGCAGAAAGGAGATGGAGACAGCTCAACTCAAGATTTAAGAAGAATCCACAGAAGAGAAAGAAGTCACTGAGTACAGAATGAAGGTGCATTTATTTGGTGCCGCAAGTTCCCCTGGTTGCGCCAATTTCGGCCTAAGGAGAGCAGCAGATGATGGTGAAGAGGAGTTCGGATCTGAGGCAGCAACACTCATTCGAGAAGACTTCTATGTAGACGACTGCCTCAAGTCGACCCCTACAGCACAAGATGCCGTGAAGCTGATTAAGTCATGCCAAGCAGTATGCGCCAAAGCAGGCGTGCGCTTGCACAAGATCACTAGCAACAATAAGGAAGTTCTACAGGCTGTTCCTGCGGAAGATCGTACAAAGAACACTAGAGAAATCGACTTGAAGGTCGACCCTTTACCTATCRAACGAGCTTTGGGTGTAGTGTGGTGYGTGGAAGATGATACCTTCCAATTCCGCATTGAACTAAAAGATAGGCCATTTACGCGTCGCGGTGTGTTGTCAACTGTGTGTTCGATCTACGATCCAATCCGGTTATCCGGTTATCCTAGAAGGAAAGAAGATTCTTCAACAGATGTGCAGGGATAGGCTAGACTGGGACAGTCCTATTCCAGAATCGCTGCGACCATCGTGGGAAAAGTGGCGTACCGAGATAACAGATCTAGAAAGCTTGAAGGTACCAAGATGCTTCAAGGCTTTGACGAAATAAAGTCAGTAGAAGTCCATCACTTCAGTGATGCTAGCGTAGAGGGATATGGACAGTGCTCATACCTTCGAACTGTTAATCAAGAGAACCATGCTCATTGTTCTTTCATAGTGGGTAAAGCGAGATTGAAATTAATTGAAATCTATCAGTCTTCTGATCTGACTTTTTAGTTGGCAAAATCAAAGTGATCCACACAAAGCTCCTCATTTTAATATGTACAAAATTAAATGGTAAAGTACAGATTTAAATGGAGAACTGTTTTATATGCACCAATATACCATTCAAATACATTACCTATTTTATGTTTTTTTTGGTCTTTGAACCCAGAGGATTTGTGACTTGAAAGTCGCCATAATAACAGTGCAGGATAAGAGCTTTAGTTGTTTTATAATCTTCACCATCACAATAATCTCTCAAAGTTCCATCAGTACTAACTAGCATGACCATTCATAACCTTTAAGAGCACATCATTAAAATACAATTATGATTTTTTTCCATTTAAATAACTCAAGGCTAGGTACATAAAGCAGGGCCTACCTCGCTTAAAACATCTGGCTGATTAAGCAAAGCCTGTAGAGTTTCCAGCATTGGTATGTAATGGAATGTTTCTTTGATGAGGCATAATTTTTGCTTGACCTGCAGATAACGATGTTCTGCATGCTGACTCAGGGTGATTTCCTATGGTTCCTAAGAATTGACCTTTTTTTTCCCATTAGAATGATAACACTAAGACCATGAAATAAATACAAAATTGGAAATTAATGACAATGAGTAGCTGTTTAGTGACTAACAGTTAATCACTCAACCAGAAGGTCTATTACAAAAAGGAGAAAGCGGTTATCCTAAAGGGTCTCTATTGTATTTCTCTTTGTGCAATGCATGTTCTGGTTGAGTGACAGTGACTGTTCGGATAACCCCTCTACATTAGCAATTTATATTCCACTATTTTGTTTTCATTGCCATTACACTACTCCACTAAGTCTCCTGGATTGTCAAGAATGGCATTTAATGTCTGTTGGCTTAGTTGATTTTCCTCTTTTGTTTTTAAGATAAACAAGGCCAAAAATCTAGTTACTTCGTCCACGTAGTCCACTGTCTCTTCTTCATCTGAATCAGTATCTGTTCCATCGTCTTCAAATGGAATTTCCTCGTCCTCATTTTCCTCATTTACGACCTCAAAATGCTTCTGCGCATTTTTCTTTTCTTCTCTCTGAAGATGAGATTTGAATGAATCAAATTTTTTAAATGTCCGCCCGCATTGTTGACATGCAATGCTAAAGTTTGGTTCATGACTATGAATAAACTTGATGTGATAAAGCAACTTCTTAAAGGTTCGGGCAATGAAACTAGTGCAGTATGGACAACTAGGCATGTAGACTATGTAGAATAATTGCAATGACACATTCTCATATATGTTATGGGCTTTTTGGGGAGTGCGGGCAAAGAGTGGAGATTTGAACAAAATCCTTAAAAAACAAGTAAAAGGCAAAATGTCCGATCAAATCCCAGACCCAAGGGGAAATGTTTGCTATCAAATCCCCATCCTTTGTCCGCAACCCCACCCCTCCCCCCCTCCCAACGGGGTTTACTTTGATAGGTGCATTGTGTGTTCGAAATTTTTCGATGTAACACTGTACTTGAATCATGATTATGAAAGTGGAGAGAATTACTCTAATTTGTTTATGAGCTATTCAAAATGCCACCAATTTCTTATGGTCAAAACAGATTCATAAATGCTACATAAGACATTAATACAGAACTTTTATGATTAACAATGTTTATTTTATTTGCTTTGTATACAAATTCCTTTCACTCGAGTAAGATATATTCATTATGCTTTATAAGAAAACGAACCATTCCTTGGCATGTAAGAGAAGACAAAGACTGACATGAAATAAAAGAAAGAGAGAAGAAAGGAAAATATTAAAAAATGGACTAGTTTCCCTTATTAATGAATTGAAGCAGAAAAAACAGAATCTTACTGATGCAATAGCAGTAGAAAGGAAAACAAAGGAAAGTTACTTTGAAATGTGGAGAGGTTCAGAAAAGGAGAAAGAGAAATTGAAAAAATCTGTATTCCAAGGTTTTGCATTAGCTAGAAAAAATGTTAAAGATAGTAATTCTACTGAGATTCTGCAAATACAACCAAGTATGCTTGAGGATATTGGAAATATTGAAAAACTAGGGAGTGGCAAATTTGGAACAGTGTGTTTAAAGAAATTTAGATCCTCACCAGTAACAGTCAAGTATTTACTACTATTAAGGAGGTTAAAAGAGAAGCTTTGTTTTTAAACAAATCTTGCCATATAAATCTTCCTATTTTATTTGGGATTAACACAACACAGAAGCCATATTTTAAAGAGTTTTATGGTAGTGAAGCACTTAAGGCCTCAACTCTTGTTGATGTATAAGTAGTAGTAGTATAACTCAYAACTCATGTATAACTCATGTATAAGTAAACCAGAATACTGGCTCCACATAAGTTATTAGAATACAGATAGCATTTGCTATTTACATAGTAAGGGTGTTCTTCACAATGATAAAAAAAACTGACAATGCTGTTTGGTTTTTCACTCTTCTCAAAGCGACAATCACAGCAGTTTTTCCAGGTTGTTTACTTCTTGTGCCATCGAAAATATAAACATTACTTTTTAAAAATAAACGTTAAGACAACAATATTTATTGGACATTTTCAAGCGAATTCTTTACGCGCTTCTTGAACGCTTGAACTTTTTTTCTCCAATTTTGTCAAACATTGTGAATATCTTTTTAGTATTTCCTTATTAAAGGATAACGAGGTTTAAAAAAGATTTGTGCTTTTTGATGTTTTAAATCTAATTTTCTATCTTTCTCTTGACTTAAGGAATTTAAACAAAAAAGCTGTCGACAACTATTCAATTTCATAAAATTTATCTTTGTTTTTTTAACTTAATCTTATAAGTCAGCAAATTATTTCGCATTACCCCCAAAAAACACTAGAGAGGCCGAGTCTATTTAGGTGGCTTCACTGGGTTTTATCCGCGCGATACCATGCAACTTCAAATCGCAAATACTCGGAAGCAAACAATGCAATACTAATTTTTTTCTTCTTAGAGATTTCAAAGAAAAGATGAAATTTTCGAATGAGCATGTTTTTACTGAAATCAGATCGGAATTAATATAAGATTGCTGTTAAGCGTAGGTGCGTTTACTTCATTGGCTATTTTCTCCAATTTTTGACCTAGGTTTTTAAATTGCTTTTTAGATATTGGAGGATAAGTAATTTGCTCAAGTATGGCTGCCTGTTTGTAGCAATATTTAATCCTCTTGATGTGCCTTTGATTTAAACTTTATAACTGTGAATTTGAACATTATTTTCTGTGAATCTAAACTTGTTGATTTGAATCCAAACCGATTTTATTTGTGAATTTAAACTTTTGGATTTGAATTTAAACTTTTGGATTTGAATTTAAACTTTTGGATTTGAATTTAAACTTTTGGATTTGAATTTAAACTTTTGGATTNTTAAACTTTTGGATTTGAATTTAAACTTTTGGATTTGAATTTAAACTTTTGGATTTGAATTTAAACTTTTGGATTTGAATTTAAACTTTTGGATTATTTAATCTTACTGGGGCGAGCTACAAGAAAGACGGTATGTGTATTTTAAATTTCCGCTGATTAAAAAGGCTATTCCTAAGCATTTTAACTCAACATAACAATGTACCGGGATGTCTATAATATCCCAAAATTCGATGACGCCTGACAATTACTGTAAGTAATTCAGAAATATTGTTTTCCTTTTTTTATTTTTTTGTTTTACTACAGTTGATTACAAAACTAAACGCTTACTTAATCTGAACACGACACTTTTTTTCAGATGATAAAGATCGCCTACAAAAATTAAAATCGCAGATAGTTAAGCAAGAAAAGGGAGCAAGAGCAAAAAACGAGGACTTTGATCTGCTTAAATGGTTGAAGACAATAAGCACTGTATCCACAGACATACCAAGTAAAACTTCACAGCAAACTGACCTGCCTAAAGTAAAAGACCGCACCGCTGTGAAAAGGAAGAGTCATATAAATCTGCAGTTAATGGAGGAAGAAGATACCGACGTAGAAGAGCAAGAATACCAGGCCTACCTTAAGCGCACTAGAGAAACTAGCAAAAAAACAAAAGCTGCTCAAAAAAAAGCTATTGGTAGTGCTCAACACTTCAGAAAGAAAAGCATGGCATCTCACATCAATGCAGAGGCTCAAGACAGAAGTAAACAAATGGGACAAACTCCCTTCAAAAGAAAAGCTATCTGCCTGCTTGAAGAAAGCAGCAGCGATGATGATGATGATTATGGTAATGATGAAGGAGAGGTCCCATTTGTTGGTGAAGATTTGGCTTCATTGAACTTGGAAAAAATACAGAGAGAGAACCAATATTTGAAAGAAGAGTTATTCAAGTTAAAGCAGACTATGAAAGCGCCAAAACTCAAGCACAAGGAATTGCCAAAAGGTAGAATATTGAAACTAGAACTTAATTAAGTCTAATACATAATATACAGATGCAGTATAATTAATCTTAAAATGCATGTGACAAGTGATTCAGCTGCTGCTTTGAATCTTCAACTATCATTCATTATGATATGGTTATGATGAATATTTTTTAGTAACTTCAATTGCCGATGGATCAGATACAGCGAGTAACAAGACCGAGACAGCTAATATTGGCCCAGCAGGTGTGCCAAGTGAATACGCGGATTCCGATATTGCTCGGAAACTAAATGTATGTAGCTTCTTCAAGTTCTAATTTCATTTTTTTGTATTTCCTAATTTTTTAAATGCTATTTATTTATGCTCAGTCATGGTATAATAATTGTGTATGCATAAGTCATTTTATAGCAGTACATATACGATGATTGATATACTTTGTTGCTTTTTAATTTTACAGCTTGTGCCATTAGTTCCTGGAACCAATGTTTTCCTAAGTCCCTCAAAATTGGCCACAGCAGGCAATGGCGTTTCGTCCCCAACGATCCTCACATATAATCTGTTAAGAGTATTTTTCAAAAAGGAAACGATAAGCATAAGTAACTATAATGGAGGGGGAACAGCAGGCCATACAGCCTTAGACAGAGCAATTACAAGTGCCATCATAGGTAAATATGACGATATGAATATGAGGACCATGTATAACTATATGAAATACATAGACGAGGGATTCCCGGAGAGGTCAGAAATTAACTGTTCCGAACTACATATTTCCAAGGGAATTTCGCCCGGCATAGCCTCATTCATAAGCACTACATGTACACCTTACCATTATTTCTAGTCTAGGTGAATATGACAGTCTTCTTGCACAATGCTTTCTTCTTTGCACAAAATCCTATTCAGGAAATAAATCATTTATTGATTCTTTGTATTACAAATATTCGCATAATACCGTTTACTTCATAATTCTTAGGTTATGTCAAGGTTAAAATGCCTCAAACGAAAACGTCAAGCATCACTGCAGCAATGAATTCCTATTGCACACGCATAAGGAATCAATTGAAGGTATACTCAATCTGCATGTACCTCCTAAAGTAGTTAAATAATCACTTATGGTTACTTACTTTTATGCTAGGTCAAGGCTCCTTCAATTGACTGTTCAAAACTGCTCCTATATGACCCTAATATCCCAATGAAAATCCTTCCATAACAAATATATTTAATTTTATGGACATCCAATGTAAGCCCTTTTTCATTCGATCATGACAATCACGCCATATCATTTTCTTATTTTCAGGTCAAAGAAAACAAGAATGAATAAACTAGTGCAGCATCAGTTTTTTTTCTTATTGATTGCACACATATTTTGTTAATTAGAGTTAAGTCCAGTGTGCCTTTATATTGATGATCGATTGATGAAAATAATTCATCATTTATTTAAAATGCTTTTTAATTCTATATTTGATTAAATTACTCTTGATTGTAGTACCATTTTATGCTATTTATTATGATATTATTTAATAAACCTTTTTATTATAACGATCAATTACTATTTTCTAAATGCAAAATAAAACATGTTGCTCACAGCTTTCATATTTATAACAGCTTTCAGTAATATTTAAAACATGTCTCAAATAACATGTCAAAAACATCTTCTTAAATGGCATGTTAAAAACATATTTTTGGTGTTCCAAAAATATAGTGTTTTTAATATGCTTTCTCCATGTTAAAAACATGCTGCATTGCATTTTTTAACATGTCTAAAATATGTTTTAAAACATGTTTAAAACATGTCCCAACAACATGTTTAAAACATGTCCCAACAACATGTTTTCAACATGTCACCATTCTGTAAGGGCATTATTATTATTTGAGTATTCATTACTATGCTACTATATTGAAAATCATAAATTATATTATTTGAAAAAATAAAAAGGTGGCCATATGATTGGATGCACACGTCTGTCCTTAGCTTCAAGATTGCTTTTTACTATATATGAATATGATTATGAACAGACCATTTGATTTCTTGTAGGAAACATGTCAAGTAGAGAATAATGAGGTATCAAATTCAAATTCAAATTACAAAGAAATTGGAATATTTTAATCTGTGAATCTTTATATTAGGCGATAAACAATGATTAATTTTGTATAAAATGTTAATTAATCAGTTGCAATATTCTTTTAATTTAATTTTTTTGTTTTGTTTTTTACATCAACTATTTTCAATTATGTTGTGAATGTTTGATATTTTCATTTTTATTACAGCAACACGATGGGCAAAGTGACTACTTCGAAAGTAGAGAGCAAAGGATAAAGGAAAACAAGTTGGAAATGTGGAAAATTGGCCTGGTAAGATAATATTTATTTAGTCAGCATATAGTTGAGTGGTCAGAGCATTGGTTTCACAGCCCTGCGGTCCAAGGTTCGATTCCCACTCTGGCCACTAGATGACATTGTATTTGTTAATTGGGTCCCTTTTTGGACAAAATACAATTTCTCTGCCATGCTTTTTAAATAGTGAGCCAACTGGTTTGTCTCCTAGCCAGATTTTTAACAATATTATGTTTAATAAGAACATGCGTAATAATTATGTAATATGTAATTATGTAATTATGTAAATATTATGTAATAATATTATGTTTATATTACGGTTTCTAATTTGTCTCCCCAAATTAGCTCTTCAAGAGCTAAATACATTGAGATGTAAATAAAGTGGATTTATTTATYTAAAWTTTTTTTATTACTTCAACAACATTTGATTTGATCTTCTAGCTTTCTGGTGAAGCCCAAGGGTAACAACGATTAGACATGTGTATATATATATATCTCTACATACGCATTACTTACAAAAAATGTTATCAACAATATTGTATATGGGCACCCATTCATAGCATGTAACATATTATTGTTGTTCTGATGTATTGGAGATACTTWCTGTTTCCTTTTGTTTATTTCAGCTTACCAAATCAGAGGCAACAATTGTTGCTCTGTTCTTCTTGGGAATACCAAAATTGCAAAATGTGCAAATGAAGGTTTTGAAGCAAGCTTGCTTAAACAACAATGTCCCCTTCACAAAACTCTCCAAGAAGAACCATTTGTGTGAACTTCTTGGGGAGTTTTCATACGAAGAAGAAATAATAATAAGAAAAAATGACGATGAAGGTTTTACTTATAGCAACCTTAAATCCATGATCACAGATATTTGAGTCCGAGTTCACAATTTTTTTTATTGCTGCTTTTTTACCAGTTTTTCCATGTGCATCCCTTGGTAGATTGTAGAATGACAGCAATTTTTGGGTCAATTGAATGCTCTGAAACATATTTTTTTATGATTGTTGTGCGATGACAATTTTCTGAAAAAGGTTGACATAAATAGCACATGAAATTCATATCTGCGCAAATGAGAAAATCCACAAATTAAAGGCTTTCTTCTGAGGTCTGAGTCTTCTGCGAATATTAATGGAAAATATATTTGAACATCAGCTATATGTACATGTCACTTGTACAGCTATGATCTAGACCATTTTGAACATCACCAATAATACTGTCGAATGGAAACATCATAAAATTATTTAAGATACTTTTTCAAATTTCTCATGTTAAAATGTTTTTTATCTCTGGACAACAATATTGTATTTATATATGTGTATGCAGTCAATGTATTTAGCAATATATTCTTGTATGCATTAATAAATGTTAATTTA